TTTGCCAGGGTTTTCTTCTTTGTCCAATTAGTGGGGAGAGAGAAAATCCTCGTTAATTGAGAAAAGTAAATTAAAACAATTTTTAAACAAAAAAAAAATGAAGATTCAGATTTGACCCTAGGGTCTGTGAGGTTACTTCTTACTTTGATTCTGTGTAATTTAGGATTAAGAGGAGCTTGATTTTAACACTTCACGCATAGTTTTGTTTTACTATTTCATGCCCAGCGTGATTGGGTGTTATACTTTAGTGACAAATTTTTTTCTTGGAATTCAGTTAAACTAGTCTTGTATGTGCAAACATCAAATGGTGATGAATTGGACCCCTGCTCTGTGGCATTGCTTCCTTGGGAAAGAGAATGAATGAGATCCAGTATTATGTTCCTGATAAGAGACTCATTAAACTGCAGCTAACCCTTACTCAGACAAAGGGACTCCAAGATCAGATAGGACTCTTGTTATTTATTAAATAACCAGGAAATCTTTGAAAGGTCGTTGTGGGTTTCTGGGTCATCTTACAGGAGAAACACTGATTAGAGTTAGGAGAACTGGTTTTTTGTCTTACCTTGAACAGTAATTTGATTCCTGACCTTTGGGGAAAATATTTTAACCTGTTTGGTGTGTTTCATTGGTTGCCCTTTGGGAATGTTGTGAAGGTAACCTTTTCCTTCCGGGTAGATAAAATACTATATAAGCTCAAGGTGATCTTATAGTAATAATGAAAATAAATGCCATGAGGGTGGGTTTTTTTTTTCAAATATTTCATTTTTTCCCAATTACATGTAAAAAAAATTTAACATTCATTTAAAAAATTTATGAGTTCCAAATTCTCTCCCTCCCCTACCCCCTCATTGAGAAGGCATGCAATTTGATACAGGTTATACATGTGCAATCATGCAAAACATTTCCATATTAGTCATGTTACGAAAGAAAGTATAGACCCTTCCCCCCCCCAAAAAAAGTAAGAAAAATAAGAAAGTTTTCTTTAAACGCCTGTCTCAGCATTCAGACTCCATCAGTTCTATTCTCTGGAGGTGGATGGCATTTTTCATCCTAAGTCCATCAGAATTGTCTTGGATCATTGTATTACTGAGAATAGCTAAATCGTTCACAGTTGGTCATCATACATGTTACTGTGTACAATATTCTTCTGGTTCTGTTCACTTTATTTTGCATCAGTTGTATCAATGTAAGTCTTCACAGATTTTCCTGAAAGCATCCAGCTCATTGTTTCTCATAGCACAATAGGATTCCATCACAATCATATGCCACTACTTATTCAGCCATTCCCCAATGGATGGGCATCCCCTCAATTTCCAATTCTTTGGAATTTCCAATTTCTTAATCATTTTCCTTTTTCTTTGAGCTCTTTGAGGTACAGACCTAGAAGTGTCATTACTGGGTCAAACGTTATACACAATTTTATATATCCTTTTGGGCATAGTTCCGATTGCTCTTCAGAATAGTTGAACAGTTCACAACTCCACCAGCAGTGCATTAGTGTTCCAATTTTCCCACCTCCCCTTCAACATTTGTAAAGTTCCTTTTCTGTCATATTAGCCAGTCCGATAGGTGTGAGGTAGTACCTCAGAGTTTAAGGCACTTTATGAGTACTCATGAGAAAATCCTATTTGGATTGTCAGATAGTAATAACAAATTCCTAAGATAGGACAGCAAAGGGGCACAGTGGATAGAGGGCTGGACTTGGAGTCAGGAAGACCTGGATTCAAATCCAGCCTCAGAAATTTCCCAGCTGTGTAACCTTAGGCAAGTCACTTAATCTCTGTTTGCTACTGGAGAAGGAAATGGCCAACCCCTCCAGTATCTTTGCCAAGAAAAGCCGTGGACATGGATTCATGAAGAGTTGGGGCTGAAATGACTGAACAGCAAGAAGAGAAAATCTTAAAGACGCAGTTCTTTCTTTTCTTGAGGCTTGTGGAAAGGATAGAAATGTGAAGTGAAAAACCTCTTAATCAGGATGTCCCAACTTGTTAGCATCTTTCACCTGATAAATATGGTAAATGTGCCTTCTTCCGTGGCCGGGTTCGATCACATCACAGTTGCCCACATGCAGCATTAGCTCAGTGGCCCAGAAGATCCGTTTTGAGTTTTCTCCTAACTTTTGTTGGCCAAGTTTGTAAGAAGACAGACAGATCTGCTCCCCCTTGGTGTTGTGCTTACGTGGCTATCAGTTGTACTGCCCCGCAAGACCTGTCGGTTTCACCCTTGTCATCCTGCAGAGTGTGCCCCTTTCTGTCCTCTGACACTGCCCCCACCCTGATGCAGGCCCTCAGCACCTCACGCCTGGATTATTGCACGAGCTGCTGGGGGGCTGCCTGCCTCGACTCTCTTCCCCGCTCCAGTCCATCCTTTGTCCAGCCACCAAAGTGATTTTCCTAAAGCACAGGTCTGACCTTGGCATCTCCATCCTACGCAGTAACCTCCAGGGGCTCCCTGTTGCCTCCAGGATCAAATACAGAATGCCCTGTTTGGCTTCAGAGTCTTTCATAACCTAGTCCCCTCCTGCCTTCACAGTCTTCTCACATCTCACTCCCCAACCTGTGCTCTTCCATCTGGTGGCACTGGCCTCCAGGGGGTTCTGTAAACAAGACTCGCTGTCTCTCGGCTCTGGCCGTCCCCCATGCCTGGAATGCCTTCCTTCCCCAACGCAGCCTGCTCACTACCCTGGATTTCTTTAAGGTCCCACGAAAATCCCTTCTTTTACCAGAAGCCTTCTCCAAACCTCCTTAATTCTAGTGCCTTCTCTCTGCTATGTCCTATTTATCCTGTCAGTAGCTTGTTTGTAACTAGTAGTGTGCATGTGGTGTCTCCCCCCAACCCCGTTAGACTAGAGCCCTTTGACGGCTGGAACTGTCTTTTACCTCCTTTTGTAGCCTTAGTACTTAGAACTGTGCTTGGCACACATAGAGGTGCTTAATAAATGTTTATTGACTGACTGACTGATTGTACACCCATTCCCTGTAAAAGGTACACCAACAAGCCTCATTTTCCAGTGCTATAATTAACATGTCATAGCCAGAGCCTAGGATTCCGATAATTTTTTGTTGTATAACAATGTCACTATAGAACTCACTGGCTTCCGTCCATCCATTTTGCCTAACAGGCTTTCATGAAACCAGTGAAGGATATCAGATGTGATGTGCCTGTGTAAAAATTGCTAATTTTGTGAGCTTTAAATACAGTGTAGATAAGTGATACTGTTGTACTTGAAGAAATGTGCTCATACTCAGCATGATCCACAAATACCAATTGGGAATGCAGGACACTTTCCGCCTTGAGACACCCTTTTTGTCTTCAGGCAGTGTAATCTGGGGCCTTGGGGAGTGCGTTTCCAACCCCCCTTAGCCATCACATGATGAGGGTACATCGTGCAGAGTCCAGTCTGACAGTATTCTATTAAAGAAATCAGATAGAACACTGTCCCTGGAGTCAGGAGGACCTGAGTTGAAATGTGGCCTCAGACACATAACACTCACTAGCTGTGTGACTGCCTCACCAAAAAAGAAAAAGAAATTAAGTCTTCTTGAGCTGCATGTATTATTTATTACACATGTAAAAGCCATTGGATTGATATCTTTAAGGAGCCTCCTGACATTACTTTTTTTTTTTAAGGTAATCAGGGTTAAGTGACTTGCCCAGGGTCATGCAACTCGTAAGTGTCTCCGGCTGGATTTGAACTCAGGTCTTCCTGACTCCAGGGCCCATACTCTATCCACTGTGCCACCTACCTGTCCCCTGCCATCCTTTTCAAAGGATTTTTTTTTTCATCTATTGATTTAGTCAAAGTCAGTTCTTTGAAATACCCTAGATCTGGTTGGGGGTAGAAAGGGTTTTTTTTCCCTTCTGTTTTTTCCCCTTAGGATTAGGGAAACCTGATCATATTTGAAGACAAGGGAAAGGAAATGGGAAGAGCCAATGGAGAAAGAGATTGAAGTCACTGAAAGAGATCAGTTGACTGCTAGAAGAGAATCCTTGAAGAGGAGGCAGGAGAAAATTCAACCTAAGCCACCCGGAGAGGGATTATCTTTAGTGAGGAATAGCCATTGCTGGCAGCCTTAATGTCAGTAATGTTCATTGTTTTCCTGGGGTTGAACCATTCCTGAGAAAAACCCAGCCCACTCACCATGAATACATTTAGGGGTATATTGTTAGAGGTTTTTTGCTGAAATTTTATTTGTACCTTTTTCATCAATATTCATTAGTCGTATCAGTCTCTAGTTCTCTTTTAAGTACCCCCCAAAAGAACATTTCTGCATCCCTAGTAGAGTAGAAAAAACAGATTCTCTGCTTACTTTTATAAAAATGTTTCATTCAATCACCATTACTTTGAAAACTCCTACTTGTCTAGGATTGTTTCTTTTCGGCAATTGCTCCTTTTTTTTTCTTTTTGTGGCTAGGCAGTGGGGTTAAGTGACCTGCCCAGGGTCACACAGCTAATAAGTGTCAAGTGTCTGAGGCCGGATTTGAACTTGGGTCCTCCTGTCTCCAGGGCCGGTGCTCTATCCACTGTGCCACCTAGCTGCCACAGCAGTCACTCTTGTTAAACCTTTCCCTTCCTCTCCTCCTTCCCCCACACACCATGTAACTAGGAAAAATCCAAAGTATCTGTAAGTAACCTCAGTCTAGGACACTTAAGATTTGTTATACTCAGATGCCTAGTTTAATGAGTTTGGAATAGAATACCAAAACTGAAGAATGTGGTGATATGATGTGAAGGTTTTGAAAATTGATACACTTTATCTTTCAAAATACTACAAGAGAACATCATTTGGAGGCTAGACGATTGAGGTACTCAGTTCCATATGCGGCCTAATTTTAATACCCCCTCCTCTTTTAAAAAGGAAAGCAGAATGTTTTACTTACAAGGTCACAAACTCTACCTTTTCATAGTATAGCTGGGTATGTTCAGCCATATAATAGTACTGTTGAAGCTGTGACTTAATTTGGTGAATGAATATTTCTGTTTTGTGTTTGCCTTGCAGCGCTCATCAGTTTGTCCTTCGGGGGAGCAATCGGGCTCATGTTTTTGATGCTTGGATGCGCCCTTCCATTATACAAGTATGTATGAAGGTTTTATTTTTGGTCGTGTTGAAGGTTGTCTTTAAAAACAGTGTTTTAATGATCTCCAGAGCAGTCAGTACCAAGTCATTATATCCCCCCTCAACATGGGGGTCAGAGACTGTGCTTTTCCAACCCAGCCTTTGTGCCGATCAAAATAATAATGGCTGTAAAAAGTTACCAAACCGAGTTAAGTCTTGCAATAAATGTCCCAGTGTCAGAGCGTTTGGAAGACAAGTCTCCCAGCAGTCATCTGTTCCAACCTCTACCAGGCCAGGAGTCTCTGTTGACAGAGACAGATAAACACAGCGTGCCAAGCACTATGCTAAGCACTGGGAGTACAGATACAAGCAAAAAGAATGTGTCTGTCTTCTTTCACAACATGACTTATGTGGAAATATGTTTAACACGATTGTACATGTAGAGCCTTTATCAGATTGCAGGCCATCTTTGGGGGGGGGGGGAATTTGGAGCTCAATATCTCATAAAAGTAAATGTTGGAAACTAAAAATTAATTAATTTAAAATTTCAATTAAAAAAAGGCATCTATCTGCCCTCAAGGAGCTCACGTTCTAATGGGGAAGACATCACGTAAAAGGGAGCTGAAATGGGGGTGGAGGAGAGTGGGAGCCTTCAGGGGGTCAAGGTGCAAAGTTGTCTGGAGGGTCAGAAGGTGAGACAGAGGTGAACATGGCTGGTGTGGAAGAGGGAAGGAAGAGGCCTGAGGGTGGAAACGCCTCCAGGGGAGGAGGTGAGCATAGGCAGGTGGAAAGGTAAGCCTTACAGCCCCAAGAAATGGTTATGCAGGCTTCACTCCGAGAACTAGAGTGAGGAGGAGCCCACCACCTCCGGAGACACCTTCTGCTTTTAAACAGCTCCTAATTGGTCACAAAGTTTTCTTCAGCCTGAAATCAGCCTCTGCAGTGGACATCCAGTGCTCCTCGTTCTTCCCTCAAGCACAAAACAGAATGAGCCTCACCACTGACAGGTGACATCCCTTTGCCAGATGCTTGGAAGAGAGCTGTCAAGCAGCCGTGTCCCTCTGAGCCTTCTTCTCTGGGCCCAGCATCCCTGGTTTCTGAACCTGTCCTGATTGGGGAAACTCCATTCCTCTCATCATCCTGGTGGACCCTTTCCTAAGACGTGGGACCAGGCTGAAACACAGTATTCTAGGATGGCCTGACCAGGGCCAAGGGCAAAGAGAATTATCATTCTAGGCATGCTGTTTCCCATTGTGGCCAAAAATCGCATCAGCTTGTGGCTGACTTGTCACATTAAGCTTGCAGTACACTAAAACCCCTAAATCTCTTTTCATACAAATGTACAGTTAACTTTTTGAATCTAAGCATAAGGCTTTACATTTATAAATCCCCATTAAAATACGTAAGTTGGGGGTAGCTAAGTGGCACAGTGGCTAGAGCTCCGGCCTTGGAGTCAGGAGGACCTGAGTTCCTATCCAGCCTCATGCTTGACATTTACTAGCTGTGTGACTCTAGGCAAGTCACTTAACCTGGACTGCCTCACCAAAAAGCAAAACACCCGAAAACCTAAATTGTGTCTTTAATGAAGCACATCAGTAAAGTTGCCCAGATTCTTTGAGATCCTGCCTCTCTTCTCCAGCACGTTAGCTCTCCCACTCAGCTTTGTGTCATAAGTAGATCTGACTAATATGCCAACTGTGCCTTTATGAAATCTACTGATGATAATAGTGAATAGAATAGGACCAAAGACAGATTTCTGGGGTACTAAAGAGTGAAACTCACAGGTTGACCTTGACCCAGTCATTGCCACTCTTTGGGTCTACTCATTCACCCATTCTCAAAACCAGAAATGGGACAGTGACAAGTTTGGGTGTACAGTGCCAAGGATTGGCCAAGATCTGGGGGAGGAGGGGAAGGAAAACCTGGAACCATTGTTCACCTCCAGCTATGTGACCCTTTTAGGACTGGCAAGACTTGGTCTTTTTTAAAGGTAGTAGGAAAAGGCAGTGGAGACAGGAGATTGCGGATCATTAAGAAACTTTGTTTGGTCATTGTAGAGAGGAGATAGGAGAGCATGCCATCTGAGGCCCAAGTGAGAGATCATCGTTGGTGGGGAGAGGAGTGATGCTGGGGAGCCTTGAGATGAGGGGCCAAAAGCAGGAAACGGAGGGAGTTTGTCAGAGGACCTCCAGGGAAAAGAAGATGGAGGCACTTGCTGTAGGAGAATGAGCTGAAGAAAGCAAGGACATTGGACCTGGAGAAAAGATTTAGGGGGCGTATGAGAGCTGGCCTCGAGCATGTGTGTGGCTGCCACACGGAAGCAGGATCCAGCTGGTTCTGCGTGGATCGAGAGGGCAGAACTAGGAGATACAGGGGGAAGTTGTGGGAAGAATGACCTAGGCCGATGTCAGGAAGAAGTCACAGTGGGATGGGCTCCTGCAGGAGGGAGAGGATTCACTCTCTGTGGGCATCTCCAGCCCAAGGCTGCTTGATAACTGTAGGGTGTGGTAGAGAGGATTCTTTTTTTCTTTTGGCTAGGCAGTGGGGTTAAGTGACTTGCCCAGGGTCACACAGCTAGTATGTGTCTGAGGCCGGATTTGAACTCAGGTCCTCCTGAATCCAGGGCCGGTGCTCTATCCACTGCGCCATCTAGCTGCCCCAGTAGAGGGTTCTTTGGGGACTGGAGCCAGGACTGCATGGCTGCTGAGGGTCTCTGGATTCTGTGGAGGCCAAGAAGTGTTAGGATTGCTGGGCTTCAGGTAGGATGAGGGAAGAAAATGTTCCCAACCATTAACCATGGGAAAGAAGAGAACACTTAGGAGTGGACTAGAGGCATCAGCAGGGAGCAGTGACATCTGGAGCTCAGCAGGTGGGCTTTGAAATCCTACATAAAATGGTAGCGGGCAGGGGGGGTGAGGAATGCTACGGGAGGAAGTGCCACCTACTGTCACTATGTGAGGCCTTAGGACAACCGATGGGGGCAGCTAGTTGGCACAGTGGATAGAGAACCGGCCCTGAGGTCAGGAGGACCTGAGTTCATATCTGGCCTCAGACCAAACACTTGACACTTAACTAGCTGTGTGACCCTGGGCAAGTCATTTAACTCCAATTGCCTTTAAAAAAAAAAAGAACAACTGATGGCTGCAAGTGGTGAGTCTGCCTCATAGAACCCGAAGGGGACCTTGGGGAGAATCCATGAGCGTGCTGATTCTGCACTGTCAGAGCTAAATAAGGGGGCGTCTCTGCTCAGCGCCTCACTTGTTCAGATCAGATGTTGGCCATGTTGGAAGTGACCCTTTGAGGTGGGAGGTGGAACCGTGGGCGTTTAACCTTATTTGCATTGGAATTTCCAGCGATTGGAGCCATTCAGTCAGTTATCGATTGGGTTCCCGTGAGGCGCTTGGTGCTAAGAGAGACACTGGGGGGCTGAGCATGGGGAGTGCCAGCAATCAGCTCTGTCCGCTGATAGAGCTCGGGCCCTGCCCCAGGACTTAGTCTGAGATCATTTCTGGGGCACCTCGAGGTGTGGTGACCAGCTAGGGTCACCCAGCTAGAGGAGAGATTTGGTCCCAGGTTTTCTTGCCCCCTCACTCCCCAGCCAGCAGTCTGTCCATTGCTTCAAGGGAACAACAGAAAATAAAGCTGGATTCCTCATGCAGCCTTGCAGTCTGTGGGGTAGACAGTGCCAGGCACTGTGTGTAACTCCAGAGACAAGTACTAGTGACAGCGTATTGGAGTTGGGCAAGGGGAGATCTCCCTGGGAGCTTGACAAGTTAAGTAAGTCTAGAGAATCAGAAGGGGGCAGCGGTGGGGAGCGTCTCAGATAAAGAGGAACAGCACAAACACAGAGGCTTGGCGTTGAGAGGAAGGGCTGGGGGGGCACAGGAAGGAATTAGTTGGACTAAAACACTTTCTGTGGAGTGTGGTGGGAAGTCAGTCCTGACAGGAAGGCAGGGCCAGATCAGGAGTTTCTGCTTTGTGAGGCAGGAAGCCCCAAGGCCCTGTTGTTGTGGAGCCCAACAGTCTGGCCCCCTAGCATATGGACTATAGAGGCTAGACTGAGGAAAGCCATCTGGGAGGTTTGTCCAGCATCACATGCTGAGAGGAGCGAGGTGTGCTGGCCTTCAGGTCCGGAGATTGAGCTTCTGATGCCACATCAGACACTTGGGAGCTGAGTGGTGACAGGTTTCAGTTTCAGCAATGCCTGGTGCATTGCCTCTTCCACAGGCTTCATGGTAGAGAATTTTGCAGACCTTAGAAGTGCTAGATGAGTGTGAGCCGCAGTGAGGAGGATCTAGGCTGGAAGGTCCTTAGGGAGGAAGAAGAAAGAAACAATGAAAAAATGCCCAGATACTTGGGCCGGGCTCCAAGAAAACTGTCCAGGGGGCACCCCTAGGGTGGCGAATCAGGGACCCTAGGAGAAAAGATGGCAGCCATCCAACCTCGGTTTGCTTTGGTTTTGTAAATGTTTGATAACTATATTTCATTAGGTTTTCTTTGCAATCTCGTGTGTTCTGTTTTATTTTATACATTTAAAAAACCCAACATTCTGAGAAGGGGTCCGCAGGCTAACCAGGGGGAGCAAGGAGAACACAAAAGAGAGAATCCCGGGGAGGGCCAAAGTATTTGGGCGCCAAGTCGGCACGAGATCTGTGACTACAGGCATGCCGCCACCTCAGAGCTTTGGCGTCCTTCTCTGTGAAATGGGAGTCATCTTTGTCCCACTGGATCCCACGGGGCTGTTTGTAGGAAAGCACCTTACAGGCCCTCAAGCATTATCTAAATGTGGAAGGTATTTGAAAGGCCTTGGAGAACAGGCCTGGAAGCAGTGACCTGGGTCTAGGACAGGTTTCTTCTGTGTTGGTGGGGGCAAGGAAGAGCCCAACAGGGACCTTCAGCTGCTCTGTGACTATTGTAAAGTTCCTTTGCCTTCTATAACTTGTCGTTTGTAACTTAACATGGAGGATAAAGACATGGAGTCTTGGTTGTTGAGATTGTAAAAAGCCTCACAGTTTTTAGCATCCGAGCAAGAAGCCTCCTCCTTGGTTGTGATCCTGGGTGGGGGCATTACAGAGATGAAGCAGGCTGGCCTGGTGCTTGTAGCAGCAGAGGCCTCTTTTAAGGAAGGGCAAGTGCCCTGGTTCTTTGAAAAGGTCAATGTTGTTGTAATGTTAGAGGAGCGAAGGACTTGGACAGCAGAAGCCTGAGTGATTTTCTCATTCTCTCTCTCTTTTTTTTTTTTTTGCAGCCAATACTGGCCCCTGTTTGTTCTGTTTTTTTATGTCCTTTCTCCCATTCCATATTGCATCGCCAGAAGGTTAGTGGATGACACAGATGCCATGAGCAATGCTTGTAAGGAACTCGCCATATTTCTCACAACTGGCATTGTGGTCTCTGCTTTCGGACTTCCCATTGTGTTTGCCAGGGCACGTCTGGTAAGTGTGTCATGGGGTAGGGGGGGGAAGAAGGCAGAGGGATACAGAGACAGAGAAACTGGGACTCATGAAGGAAGGGGGAGAGATGGACAGACAGACGGACGGAGGCATGCCCAGCATTCCTGGGTTGCCACAACCAAAGACTTCATCCCTTGGTGCCAGTCTCCTGCTGTTTTGAGCATGTTGACAGGACCGTCCTTGCAGCCTTTCCAGCTAAGTACACCCCACCTGATCTTGTGCTCTCTGCCCCCTGATGAGGCATCAGAGAAGAACACGGTGGAGCAGAGGCCACCTTTCAGGGAGGACTGAACTCTACTGTCAGTGTCCCCATTAATGTCACCCAAGCGTACGCCTTTTATTCTTTCCCCTCCTAGCTGACGTTTTCCCAGAGTACTTTAAAAGCACGATCACTTGTGTTCCCCCCAGCCTTCCTGGAAGATAGGTACTGCAGACACTAGTCTCCCCATTTTGTAGATGAAGAAATTAAAGCTGGGAGAGGGGAAGTCAGTCCCACAGGGGCACTCAGGACGGGTCAGCAGAATTTGAATTCAGGTCTCTCCTGACTCCCAAGTCAAGTAGACTTCCTACCACACACTCCTTGTCCCAACCATCCCAGCTCCTCTCTTCTGCCCTCATTTCAGCCTTGAGCACATTGTGAGAAGTCTGTCCAGAAATGTGTCAGGTTTTTCTTTTTAGCTAAACATGAGTTAAGGCAAATGCCTTTAGAAGCAGAAACAGGAGGGCAGGGTTGTGGCTGCTCCTCCCTTTCTCCATCTCCAAGCCCAGTTGTCTCCCAGACTAGATGAGGAGACCCTCTCATTCCCAACAGCCGCCCAAGCATGTCTTGTCTGTCTGAGCCGGCCGGGTCTGGGGGTGTCTGTCTGTCTGTCTGAGCTGGCCGGGTCCAGTGATATCTGTCTGTCTGAGCTTGCAGGATCCAAGGGTGTCTGTCTGTCTGTCTGAGCCAGCCGGATCTGGAGGTGTCTGTCTGTCTGAGCTGGTGGGGTCCAAGGTTGTCTGTCCATCTGTTTGAGCCACCAGGGGCCTGGCAGCAGTTGTGGTCAGGGCATCAGAGCTTGCCGGCTTCTTGAGTGATGTGACTCGACCCTCTTTCCTTGTCTCCCTAGATCGAGTGGGGGGCTTGTGCCCTGGTTCTCACGGGCAACACAGTCATCTTCGCGACAATCTTCGGGTTCTTCTTGGTCTTTGGCAGCAACGATGATTTCAGCTGGCAGCAGTGGTGAGGAGCTCGTTACCAGACTCTCCCACCGGGGACCTCTTGTCACTGGTGGCCATCCAGGCCGCCCAAAGGTTGGACGAGAAGAGGAGACGGTCGAGCAGCCCCGGGGGCTGCTCTTCTGGGGACAGACTCTTCTCGCTGCTGCTGGCTGGGAGAGCATTTCCCCCGTGACTCACTAAAGGGTTCACAGACTTCTGTTTTTTCAGAGCTATGGTGGACTCCTCGCTTCTCTGCTTTTCATGGAGCCTGCTGAGTTGGGATGTCCATCTCAGGCGTTGTCCCTGTTCAGTGTTAGCTCCATAGGCCGTGCCCCCACCCCTTTTTAATGGAATAAGCACCACCTGAGTATGCCAAGGGAAGACCCATCCTCCAATAGGCCCTGGTCCTGGGGTCGAGGTCCAGCTCAGCCTCCAGAAATCACCCCAATTCCCACAGTGGCTCCCGCGTGACACAGATGATGCGCCTGTTCAGACAGGCGACGGGTCCTGTTGCTGAGCAGCCATGTCAGCGGCGACACGCGTGGAAGAAAACATGGCGGGTGCCAAAGAATCGCAGGCGGCCCAACCTCAACGGGACGGATAAGTCTCAGTGGCCAGGGCCAGGTTGTGAGTTTGCGTCGTGAGAAATTCTTTTTGGAGCTGCTCAGAAGGAGTGTTTCCTTGTTGCACTTCCATGCTGGGGTTGAAGATGCGAGAAAAGAGATCTGTTATGCCTGGTTTTTATTTGTGTTTCTTGTGGTGATAAATAGATTGAGCTTCATTGCGGGGAGCAACCGATGTTGCAATTCCATTTTTAAAGGCCTGTTTCTATTTATATGTAAGATTTTTGATCTTGTCAGCAGCCTTTCATGTTTTACTCTGGGTGAGATAGATGTTGATGGCACTACTGATGATGAAAAGTTTTATGTTTGCAGCATCTAGAAAAGAAAGCCCTCCCTCTCCCGTGCCCACTTTAAAGTTTATTTTATACATAGTATATCTGAACTCAAATAACTTTTCAGATGTAGTTTAATCATACTAAAGGAGCAGGATTGCCATCCTGCACAGTGAGAGCATTACAGTTTTTCTCTTTGCAAGTCTTGAAATGATTTCCCAAGTGATTTGTCAGTCTTGCAGCTCTCGCATTAATAATCTTCACATTTAGTCGATGACAGTTGTAGTGGGTGTTCTGTAACATTAGGTCACATGTAACTTCATATTTAAGACAAGTTTCCTGCATACCCCTCAGCGGTCTGAGAGTTTCCTGTCAGGCCTGCCCTTTCCTTAGGCGTCCAATTCCTGTAAAGTCATTCGCCGCCACTGTTGCCACTTTAGACCCAACCGGATCCCAAAATGCTCGGCTGCATATCTTACTCTTAACTGAGCGTGATCAAATTGTGTGTGTGTGTGTGTGTGTGTGTGTGTGTGTGTGTGAGAGAGAGAGAGAGAGAGAGAGAGAGAGGAGAGAGAGAGGACAGAGTTACACCTTCTGATGTACTTGAGGCCCTGGTGTACTAGGCACGTAAATAATAACTGTTAAGTTGAACTCTCGAAAACCTTGAGTTCACCTGACTATTCTGTTAGGCCTTTGTTTGTTTTGTTTACTCAGTTACTGATGTATATGCCTAAAAATGGCTCATTCTCAGACAATGAGCAATGATCATGACAGTTACTATTTGCTTTTTGATCAAGTGTATTCCTGAAGGAAGTGGGAACAGATGTCTGCACGTTCACTTTATTCCTAGAGATGTGTGAAATCACCCTGCGTTGTTTTTCTGGCTGGGAAATGAGCCCCAAGATCGCAGGGACTGCCAGTGGGCGGTGGACTGTGTACCCCTCCCCAGCGGGCTGGAACTGACCTGCAGCGTTAAATGTCTGTGACCTGGATTAGTCCAAGTGTGCTGAGGCAGTATGTGTCAGACAGCTGTGGCTATGCCTGTGACCCCCCTGGCCTCTCCCCATGTCCCGTTGGTGGTGGTCTTCCTCAGGGTGGCTCATTGCCGCTCCCCTTTATTTACTTGGCCTCTTTTCTACCTGTTGCATACACCTGTCATATACTAACTGCGGTGGTGGGGCAGCACCGTGCCTCAGAGCTTGCCCAGTAGGCTTGACATAGTGCTGGCCCAGCCTCTGGTTTTTAGGCTAAGATCCTTAACGTGTGGCTTTTCCATAGCATATGCATTGATAGAACATTGCTGTCCAAGAGAGGGAAAACTTTTGATGACAAAACAATAAAGATTTCAAGTTCTTGTTTTCGCTTGTGAGATTTTGTTTTTAAGCAAAAACATACCACATCCTGTTCTTTGTTTCTGAGACGCTCCTACTCCTAAGGAAAGGAAAGCGTTAAAGAAGCTGAGGATACACTCGTACCGTGGCTGCCTCGCTAATGGTAACCTTGCAGGCAGTTTTGTTTCCAAAATTAAAACGGAAACCATAGTAACCAATGGCCCTTTCTCCGTGGTTGAGACTCCCTGATGTAGAGCATTCATGAAAGGGGGCTGATGAGGACAGGAAATGGCGTTTTGCCTAACATGTTTACGGATGAGTCACCGAAGGCAGGTCTCAGAACCGTCAGAGCATGAGCTCAAGGCATTTCTGCTGTAAAACTGCTGCAGATATAATGCATGATCATGTTTTTGTGGGACAGTGCTCCTGGTACTGTCACTTCAGTTGGCTCTGGTTAGGCAAACATCAAAGGACTATTTTCTCTGTTTATTCTGAAAAACTATATGTATTGGCATTGCAAATGTGAGTACTGCTGCAAAATAATGTCAACACCACATGAAATTCCACATTTCCAATGCTATGATTGTTTTCTCTGCCCCTGTTGTTTCAGTCTTTGTTGGGAGTATTCAGAAAGGTCAGACTGTAAAGGCACTTTTTTGTGTTCACTCTGAGGCCCCCCTGGATGAAAAGGTCTGACCAGTCAAATAACTTTATCAGGACACCTGATTTAACATCCAGTCATGCACTTTATCTTGGGATACAAAGAGTCTCAACACGTCCTAAACCAAATGTGAGAAAAGCAACATATAGGAATAAAGCTGGATGAAAATTGATGTCTTCTTCTACAATATAATAAACCTTTTTAAAAAAAACAATCTTATAACAAAGGTTTTAAGAGGGGGAAAATAGTTCAGCAATATCAACTAATACCATAGTCTATGCAATATTTTTCACTGATTGTCTTCCACCTCTGCAATGAAAGGAGGAGGTAAATTTTCTCAACTTTCCTGTGGGGTGGGCTTCATCCTTATAATTGAAACAGAATTCATTCTTTTCTTCTTTCCATTTACTTTGTTGTCATTTTTTAAAATATATTTTTATTTATTTTGTTAAATATTTCCCAACTACATGTAAAAGACTTCAATCATCATTTTTTTAAATTTTTGAGTTTCATTTCCCTCCCATCCCTCCTTGAGAAAGCAAGCAATATGATATCAGTTATACATGTGAAATCATGTAAAACATATTTCCACATTAGCCATGTTGTAAAAGAAAACGCAGACAAAAAAAAAACAAGAAAAATAAAGTAAAAAACATGCTTCAATCTACATTCAGAGTTCACCAGTTCTTTCTCTCTCTGGAGGTAAATGGCATTTTTCATCATGAGACCTTTGGAATTGTCTCAAATCATTGTCTTGATCAGATTAGCTGAGTCCTTCACAACTGATTTTCATTACAATATCGCTGTTACTGTGTACAACATTCTGGTTCTTCTTACTTTCCTTTGTATCAGTTCATCTAAGTCTTGCCAGGATTTTCTGAAACCATCCTGTTTGTCATGTCTTTGTGTATATTGTTTCCTTCCACTTACATGGCTGCTTCAGTACGGAAAGTCCTGTCGTGCTTCTCTGAATTCTTCATCTCTTTGTGTCTTACCCTGTGGTAATATTCTATTACATTCTCATGCCACCATTCATTTAGACCTTCCTCACTGTTAAAAAGACCCACAGAAGTGGAAACTTCCAGAACAGAAGCCAGCAGGGCCTGTTATGAAAAGGCTCTTTCAAGATGAAGTGGAGTGTTTAGATTTCATTTAACTTGTAATATCACCAAACAATGTTATTACTTTTTTTGTGGAAGTATGGTCAGGCTCCTAGACTTATGAAATCATGGGTCCTGGAATGATGAAACACATAAAAATCTCATATTTTAAAAATCACGTTGTATTCAAACTTGAGCCATTTAGTAAAAAAAATTTTAGAGGTGGAAACATCCTCAGAGATCACCTAGTCAGAAACTACAAAAGACCAAAGAACTGTTCCAGCCTCCCATCTGTGAGAAGAGGCTGAGTTAGGAGGGCTTCATGTTTCCCTGACCTCCATTCCAAGGACAGTCAGACCCCAGGGTGGTCCCATCTTGGCCTGTAATCCCACCAAAGCCCACCACCTCCACAAGTTGAGAAGCAGCCAAAGATGGTGGCAGGCGTGAGGCGAGAGGTGATGTGAGTGAGCAAGGCAGCGGAGCATCCTGCGGGCCATGAGAACAGGAAAGGACCGAGTGCTGACGCACCCTAACCGGATTAAGCTTCTTCCTTTCAGTGGCAAGAGCACTGTGACCTTGAGCAGCTCGGCCCCAACTTGGCTGCTTCACATGTGCCACCGCACCCTCCCCACGCCTTTGCTCCCACCACTCTGCTGGTTTGGGTGCTATGTGCTCACTTTTCCGTTCTTCCTTCCAGATTTACATCCAGTCATCTCCATGCAACCCACCAGGCTAGCTCTCCCTTGGCCACTGTCTTGTCACTGGTCTCTGATCAAAATGTCCTAAATGGTCCCCAACGAGGCCGTAACGCCCCTCAGGGCAGGGACGCCAGCACCTTGGCAAGGCCCTATTTATTGGGTGAAGGGGGCTGGGGAGGCTCCTGCTCGCTTCTTCTTCCTTGCTAACAGAATCAGGCCCGTGCAGTACAGCAGCGGGAAGAGGCTGTTGTAGGAAGCCCCCAGCAGCCTGAGCGAGGAGACGCTCCTGAGCTCCACCGCCAGCAGGATGTACGCGACGATGAGCTGCGTGTGGGTCCAGGTGACGGCCCTGTAGAGCAGCCTCCCCGGCCAGGCGGAGACCAGCACCTTGGCACAGCCGTGAATCAGGTAGTCGGCCTGCACCATCAGCGCCCAGCACAGGAAACCAAAGACCTGCCCCGGATGGAGCCCATGCCACCAGGCGGAGAAGGCGAACGTCTGCAGCAGCGGCCAGGCCTCGGCCCGCTCAAATACAAGCCTCCGGAGCCACCTCGTGGTGCTCCGGTTCCAAGTCCTGGTGAACAGGGCAAGCCTGTGAGTTGTCTCCAAGGTCCAGATGTCTGCGTCCGAGATGTCCCCCTCCCCGTGGAGGGGTGGGTCAGGGCCCAGGCTGAAGCCTGCTGCCCAGAGGACAGATTCATCCAGGATCCAGCGACAGTAATAGGTTAGTTTGAAGAGTGCAGCGGTGGTCCACATGACATAGGTGCAGCCAAGTAGGTGGCAGTCGGCCAGGCTGCTGCCGGCTCCCAGCAGCCCCCTCACCAAGGCTTTCAGCAGCTGCAGCCCCAGGAGCAGCAGGCCCCTCCTGGCAGCAGGGCGGAAGGACAGCGGCCTCCACTGTGATTCTGACCGACTCACTTGAGTCTGAAACCTCTTAAAGGAACACAGAGGACCACCCAGAAGTGCCGGGAAGAAGAGCAGATAGCTGCAAAATGACAGGATGCAGGGGCTTCGCCAGGCTTCCTTTACCACCACTTGTCCCTCACGGATGTCCAGAGAGAGCCAGGTGACTCTCTGGGTCAGGAGCATGAGGGAAGAAAGGGTGATACAGAACCTGGAAGAGATGGAGAAATCAGACTGGGAAAAGCCTGCCTCCCAGCATGGACTGACTGTCTTTGAAGGGCGAGAGGAGGCCTGACCCACACGGACTCCACTGTCCCATGTCCTGGGAGCAGCAGCCTGCTGCAAGCAGGAGGGACCGCCGAGGCCTGGGGCTCCCTTCCATTCCCCTTTGTTAGCAGGATGGACGGCAAACCCTCCGCCCGAGCTCCCTCTGGAATAACCGGCCACCAGAGCAGCTGGAGCTGGCTGGTCAAGACCAGGCAGGAGTGAATGGAGAGTTCTTGCCCAGAATGGCCCTCCAGCAGGTAAGTACTTCAGCTTGGACAAGACAGGAAGAAAACGACTCCATTCGTTTGTGTCCTGAGATTTTTTTTCCCTTATGTGTATTTTTCTGGATTTTGGTAACCATATACACTTAGAAATATATTTATATTTAGAAAACAACTGAGAAAGGGCAGCTAGAGGGCACAGTCAATAGAGCGCTGGCCTTGGAGTCAGGAGGACCTGAGTTCAAATCTGGCCTCAGACACTTGACACTTACTAGCTGTATGACCCTGGGCAGGTCACTTAACCCCGACTACCTCACCACCACCAAAAAAAAAAAAGCAAGAAAAGAAAACAAAATTAAAACCATCGGTTGGTAAACAACTTGGATAGAAGTGGTGTAACACCATAAAAAAATCATTGGGTTCAGCCCCTCCCAGATTGTTGTCCCAGAAATGAAAACATAGCTGAAAATTGTACTGTGAAGTGTGTCTTGACTGTATAATTCTGATTTGGGATTTACTTCTGATAGGCCAGAACACTGCCGGGCCCGTAGTAGGCTCTTAAATGCTTGCTGATTGACTTAGTGATTCCTTCTGCGCTGGCAGACTGGGCTGGATTCGATAGAGGCGCTAGGATTATGGGAGCACAGCCGCCAGTCCCTGGGCATGTGGCCGAGCTCTTGCCGTCCTAGTTTCATAATCTATAGAATAGGGTGACCTCCCTGACGTTGGGAGGGTAATTAATGGAAATTACAGTCATTCACCTGTTCTCTTGGCTTCCTCCAAAGGCCTTCCATGGCTAGTCTCTGCATCTTCCCCCTCAACCCCAGCCCTGGTCTTTCCTGTTGAGTAGGGTTTTCTGCCTCTTACCCAGCTCCTTCAGATAACAGAGCTGACACTCCCCTCCTCCCCCTCCCTGCAGTCACTACACAGTACCTCCCTCCCTGAGTCATAACTAGGGCCGGGCAGTGTGGTCTTTGTCTCAAGTCCCAGGAGTGAGTGATGACAGCTCCAGCTCAGATCTGCTTTCTTCTTCCCACAGCTGTCACACCCTTGGCTTCTCACCCACTCCCTACCCCCAGTCCTTCGGTAGCAGGGAAACCTCAAGATGTCCTGGGACAGACTTCCTTCACTTTCTCCCCATCATGAGCTCCCCTCCTGACCTCTCCTGTCCCAATGTAGGGAAATAATTCTCTTCCCCCCACTGCCTGTCCCAGCTGGTCTCCCTGGAGTCCTGGCTGAGAACAGTCAGTAATAAAAAAGGAGGTGCCTGGCTATGGAAAGATTTCTGGGAAGGCTCTATAGCCAGTCCCTACAAATGATGCCACTGCCAACAGATGGGCTGGGCGGGGCCCTCCTTTACCTCATGCAGGGAGGTTCTTGAAGGTAATACTCAGTGTAATGTAGTCCCAGGTGGCAAAGGGTCTGCCAGGTCATCTGGAAGGAGAACGTCCAGCAGTGAACCTTCTCTGGGCTGACGGACTGGAAGAGGGCCACAGCACAGAAAGCTGGGATGAAGACCAGCACCGCATACTGGGCCATGGCCATCCAGGCGAGCAGGCAGCCTCCCAGAATGAGGAAGATGTGTCTGGAACAAGAGAGAGGTCCCTGGCACCCTGGCCTGCAGAACCCTCATGAGGAGACAGGCCCGCCTTGGATGGTCTCCTTTAAGGGAGGGTAGGCACGGTGGATAGAGTGCTGGAGTTGAAAGCAGGAAGACCAGAGTTCAAATCCTGCCTCAGCCACTAGCTATATGGCCCTGCACAAATCACTTCATAATAACAGTTTATAAAAATAGCACTCATATAATGCTTTAAGATTTACAAAGCACTATTGTTGGTGGAGTTGTGAACTGATCCAACCATTCTGGAGAGCAAGTTGGAACTATGCCCAAAGGGCTATAAAATGTGCGTACCCTCTGACCCAGCAATAGCACTTGTAGGACTACATCCCAGAGAGATCATACAAATGGGAAAAGGACCCACATGTACAAAAATATTCATAGCAGCTCTTTTTGTGGAAGCCAAGAACTGGAAATTGAGGGGATGCCCATCCATTGGGGAATGGCTGAACAAGCTGTGGTATATGAATGTAATGGAATACTATTGTGCTATAAGAAATGATGAACAGGTGGACTTCAGAAAAACCTGGAAGTACTTGTATGGACTGATGCTGAATGAAGTGAGCAGAACCAGGAGAACGTTGTACACAGTAACAGCCACTGATGACTAATATTGATAGACTTAACCCTTCCCAGTAATACAAGGATCTAAGACATCTCCAAAGGCCTCATGATGGCAAATGCTGTCTACATCCAAAGAAAGAACTATGGAGTCTGAATGCAGATCAAAGGAGACTATTTGCTATTTTTTTTTCTTCTGTTGTGTTTTGTTTCCTCTTTCTTGTGGTTCCTCTTATTGGTTCTAATTCTTCCTTATAACATGACTAATGTGAAAATATGTTTAATAGGCATGTATATGTAGAGTCTACATCAGATTGCATGCCGTCTTGGGGAGGGGGAGGGAGGGGGAGAAAAATTTTAAACTTTGCTTCCAACTGAATTCTTTCAGCCATCACTGGAGAGACTCCAGAAGGCAGAAGGGGCCAGTCATCCCCACCAGTTGCCACTCACAAAGCAGGCACGCCAGCCTCGCTAAAGCAGCAAGAGACCCTGAGGGGGAAACAGGCGGCAACGTGGGCCAGGCAAATCAGACCGTGCCCACCCCTACCCTGACCATCTCCTCGGACTCTAATGGAGACAGCTGAGGACATCGAACCCAACAGCTCTGGCAATAATGGTGCTCCCCATCCAATGTCCTCAGCCAGTCATACTCCATGGGGAAGAAACTCCTTGGAGAAGTAGCCTGGCAATTGCTGCAGCGAGTGCTAGAGCCACAACCGCTGATGACTCAGAAAAGAAAAAACTTTCCACCAGTCTTTGGCCCTGCCACATGGTTCAGCATCTGAAACTGATACGGCTTTATCAGTGGACGTAACATTAAGGAAGATAGTTTATCATGTATTTCACATCCTCAGCATCCTAAGGGCCACGAGACCTTCCAGTGTGACTCGCAGCTGAAACCTTCCACATGAATTGTGAACTCCTTGACAGCAGACTGTTTTGCTTTTCTGTTTGCATCCCCAGAGCCTAGCACAGCGTTGGGCACATAATAAGCTTTTAATACAGGTGTTATTCATTCATTCAAAACTACTGATGGACCAGAAAAAAAGATTTTTAAAAAAACGAGGAAAAGGACCCATATATACATATTTATAGCAGCTCTTTTTAATGGGGCAAAGAACTGAAAATTCAGGGGTACCCACGAATTAGGGGATGGCTGAACAAATTATAGTAAATAAATGAGATGGAATAAAAAAACAGATTTACAAAATACTCCACAAATATCTCATTTGAGCCTCACAACCCTAGGAAGTAGGCACTATTATTATTCCTGGTTTACGGATGAAGAAACTGAGGCAGAAAGGGTTTAAGTGCCTTGCCCAGGGTCACACAGCTGTGAGTGTGTCTGACTCCAGGCCTGCGCTCTGTGCACTATGGCACCACCTAGCGGCCCCACAAAGGACCTACCAGAGTTTTTAAAGTAGAGAAGTGATGTGGTGGACCTGTGTTTTAGGAGCAGCCACTGACAAACTGAGCAGAGAATGGACGGGAAAGCAGTGACATCTGAGGCTGGGAGACCGACCCAAAGGCCACCACGACAGTCCAAGCCAGACTTAGGGTGGCCGGGGGAACAGACAGAATGGCACGGATGCCCACGAAGACGCCGCAGACACAGAAAGGAGACGTCACCCTCCCGATGTCACTGGCCCTCTCCAAGAACGAAGAACAAAGAACAGCTAACTTTAACCATTGCAAACATGGCTTAGGACAAAAAGAAAAGTCCAAACTGTCGGCTTTTCAGTCCTCTACAGGCCCCTCTTTAATATGGCATTTTACATTTGAAAAAAAATAAAAGAAACTATAGTCAGACTCCCCTTCCTCCTCCAACCTAGAATGCTGGGCCTAGGGTCAGGAAGACCAGAGTTCCAATCCAGCCTTAGGTATTTCTAAGCTGGATGACCTTGGGTGAGTCATTTCACCCTGTTTGCCTCGGTTTCAGCAAATATAAAATGTGGGTGATAATAGTACTTGCCTCCAGGCCTGTTGTGAGGATCAAATGCACGTGTGCATGCACACACACATTTGTTGTTTTCAGTCATGTCTGACTCTCTGTGACCCCATTCAGGGTTTTCTCACACAAATACTGGAGTTAGCCATTTCCTTCTCCTGTGTGTGTGTGTGTGTGTGTGTGTGTGTGTGTTGTGTTGCAAATCCTTAAGTGCTACATAGATGATAGCTATTATTATTATCCCCCCTGCCAGTTACCACCCTGAAGCCCCTGAAAAGCAAGGGGACATCCCCAACACAGGCCCGAGATGGGCCTTTCCCTGTGCAGAAGGGCCAGGCTGGGAAGGCCACCACATGCATATGACCTAGCACCCATCACTCCAATCTAGACGGACTTGGACAGTCACAGTGCTCCTTCCCCCAAGTTGGCTCTAAAGAGTAGCCTTTAATCAGCACATCTGGACATGGGAAGTCTTCTGCCTGCGCGTTCTCTTTTCCCTTCTCAGTGCAAATGCTGGCTTACCACGTGATCACTCACTCCAGCAGGTCCCTCTTTGTCTTCAAATACAGGAATTGAAAAAAGGTGGGAGAAACCCATCGAGACTCATGTTGGAGCTCCCATTCAACCTGCTGTTGGGAGTGGCCCCAGTCACTGGGTGGTGGGTTGTGTGCCACCACAACTCTTGAAGACTGTCTCCTAAGGCTGTCAGAGGGAGGAGGAAGTCACTGCACAGCCAAGACAAAGTCGCAGGCAGCCAGCTGGGCTGCAAGGGGGAGCAAGTCTGAGCATCTCTCAGAAAACCTGGCAGACAAAGGTCCTGACTCTCCAAAGAGATCACCTAAGGAGTGAAGTTCTGCAGAACCAAAGGGCTGTGGGCTTCACAAGGGGAGCCATCACAGCTCCCTGAAGTCCGTCTAAATTGTGATCCAGTTTAGAAAAACAGTTACGAAATGGAGGGGGCACATGCACTTCATAAAGGTACCCTTTTTGAGCAATCAACTTCGGTCTTGTCACTGGCGACCTCTGTGACCTTGAGCAAGTAACCTTCCCTCTCTAGGTCTCTTTCTTCATCTCTAAAATGGGGGGGGGGGTTGGATTCGACGGCTTCCAAGGTCTCTGCCAGCTCTAAATCTCAGACCCGAGGATCTTCTCCCCAAGCACGTTCAATAAGTCAACAAGTATTTATGGCACACCTACTGTGCACCAGGCACACAGTAGGTTACGTGCCAGGAACAGCAAAGAAAGGCAAGAACAGTCCCTGCCCTCAAGGAGCTCACAGTCTAATAATGCTCTTCACTCTTCTGCACACAGCACACAGCACAGTTTGTGAAATCACCAACTGTGTGCAAAGAGAATGAAATGAATGAAAACAAACCAGCCTAGACTGGGCTGGACAGTTGGAAGGCCACCCCATTGAGCTGGTGCATCTCTACGGGACAGGCTCTTTGAAAGACAATCAGCCAGGCCAGGAATGGAGTAGGAGGGAGAAAGCAGGCAGGGTGGCATTTAGGAAATTGTGCGTGAATGTCATGTGCCCCACCTGCTTCCTTGGCAACACAGATGGTCCCCGGCTGTGGCTGTTGGCTGCTTCCAAGTCTCAGAGCACCACCATCTACTTTGAAGGTCATCAATTTAAAGCTGGGAGGGGCTCACAGGTCACCCAGTCCAACTCCCTTATTTTACAGAGGAGGAAACTGAGGCCCAGGAGAAGGGATTCACCTAAGGTTACACAGCCAGTTGGTGGTGAAGCCTTCACCAAGATGAAAGGAAAAGGAACTCCTGTGCTTACCTGGCAGTGATGGAGAACGAATCCATGGCACAGAGAAAATTAAACAGAAGAGCAAAGGGAAAAGCGACCACTTGGTAAAAGGTCACAGGGTCAAAGTAGAACAGCCCATCCATGGGAGCTGGGAAGAACGGCCCCCGGGCCTTCTTAAAGTGTCTTCCTCCTGCTTCTCCCTGTGCAGCGATCCCTGGTCTGGGTCTCAGGGCTTTTTATATGGTGTGGAGATAAGCAGCCTCAGTGGGATTGTCTGCACTTGGGAGACCGGAACATTTGAGGAATGTCACTGCTTAGCAATGGGGGAAAGGAGAAAAGCACCTGACTATTTTCAGCAGCTGCCAGCTGGGTTCATTGCAAGCACTGCTTTATTTGTCTTCCCCATATGCACATTGCCATATTTCCTTCACCAGGTCAATGTAAAAGTGTTTGCCCTGAATTAAAAAGCTTCCCATAGGGACACACTCTTAGGCTACGGAGCTGGAGCAGCATCTGAGCGTATACTTAGAAAAAAAGGAAGGTAGACAGGGAGGGAGGATTGGGAAGGAGATGGGGTGAGAGGACCATGAAGATCTGTGATATGGAAACCAAAAAATGGCCTTAATTCTTGTGTGGCTCTGAGCAAGCCCCTTCTCCTGTCTAGACTCGTTTCCTCATTGTAAAATAAAGTTCTTGCTGGCTTTGGTATCATGTGACTGCATCACCGTGAGGAAGGGATATGGGATAAGCAAGGTCAGAGGTGGAGCATCAGGACCAAGGCTGGCTTTGTTCTGACCGGGTAAAGCTCACAAAGGGGACGTGCCTTGTCAAGATCACCCAGGGAGCAAGGAAACCAAGCAGAATTTAAAGCCTGGTCCCAAGTCTAGGTCCAGGGCTGCTCACGACACTGAAGAGCCAGACACCGAGTGGGGACAGCTTCTTCTCCAGGCAGATGGCCACCACCAAACCTTGGAGGAGGATGTGGGTAACCAGGAAGCTCCCAGTTCCCCCTAGCTCTACCCCTGGGTGGGTGCTCCTGCAGTCTGCTTCCCCATCTGGGAGGAGACATGTCCAACAATCAGGCTCTTTTAGGTCAGTCCCCACCTACTGTCCCTTGGCTTATTAATTCACCCCTTTCCAGATCGTTACTAAAGCGTTTCATGAAAGCAGTAAGAGCAAAATAACATTCATATTAAAGCAGTGGCCACAGGCTTGCTTTTAACACCAGGCCTTGTGCTTCTGAGGGGCAGAAGCCCTTGTCTGTTCAGGTGCTTCACGCAGCTGGTTCAGAGCATCATTGAAATGGGGTGTCCCTGGCTGCAGGGGCATGAACAAGATGGACAGCAGGCGCTGCAGGGCACCTGGGGAGCTCCCGAGGCACTGACCAAGCTGCTTCCTCACTGGCCCTCGCTCCAGGGAAAGCCCGTGATCGGAGCAATGACGCCCTCATCACTTCAGGGCCAGGACACGGGACAACCGGATCCTGGGTGTGGAGCTGCACCTCACAGGCCCACTAGCCAGCCCTTGCACTGGACACAGGGAAACCCGGAGAGAGGCGGGGGCTTGCCCGGGTCAAGGGGCTGATGGGGGGGGGTGCCCGGGTAATGGGGCTCCGGGGGGAGGGCTCCTCCAGCTCCTCGGTCATCCGCTCCATGCCCCCTGACCCCCAGAAGGGAAACTGAGGCACAGGGAGGCCCAGCCTCAGCTCAGTCTTACAGTCAGGCCCCGGGGCCTCCCAAGGGCCTCCAGAGGACAGTCCTAGGACTAGGGGAGGGGAACCCGAGGCACAGACAGGGGCACAGCCAGCTTGGGGTCCCACAGCGCTGTGGACTGGACAGCTTGGCCCCGAGGGACCCCAAGGGACAAAGAGGAAACCGAGGCGCCGAAAGGGAGAGAGCCGGCGGGGGCCACACGGCTCTCTGGACTGATCACCCCTGCTAAAGGGAAACTGAGGCACCACGAGGGGCAGCGCCAGCCGACAGTGCCTCCTCAGGGTCTCGGGAGAAGAGCTAGGGGGATCGCAAAGCTGAAGGTGCAGAAGGGAAACTGAGGCACCGAGGAGTTTTCCACTCAACCTCTAGGCGCCTCCAGGGCGGAACTGCCCGCGCATGTGCATTCCACTCGCGCCCCCCCTCCCAGTTGGCCTGCTGTGCTCTGGGCTCGCCCCGCCCCGCTGGGCATGCGCCCTCGCTCACACAGCCTATCAGGCTAAACAATGGAGCCCGGAGCTCACCCCATCCACCGCGCACGCGCTCTCCTCCCCACCCGCAGCTGACTAATCGAGCTCAGAGCTGACCCCACCGTCACTGGATGAGACGGCGGTATCTGCCCCAGGAGTGAGGGAAAATGACGGAGAAACTCTCCAAGAGGTGAGTCTGCCTAACGTCCCGCGCCCTCCCTACTCCGCCCTCCCCTCGTGCCCCACGGGCTGTGACGGAGGCAGACGGACGGTCAGTCTGAGACCCTCGCCAACCCTCCCCTGCCGGGGGTCGGGGAGTTCGGGAGCTCCGGCAGGGCGGGACCGGGGGGGGCAGTGCGCATGCGCTGGCCCAGGGAGGGCGGTCGTAGTGCGCCTGCGGAACCCGGGGGCGGAGCCTGGGTGGGAGCGGTGTGTCACGTGGTCCTGGTAGCTCCTCCCTCAGACTGAGGGCGGGGAGAATCAGCCAGAGGGGGACCTGGCAGGTGGGGGGGGTGCTAGGGAGCCGCGGGAGAGGAGGAACCACGGAACCCCAAAATAACGTTGTTTGTTACCATTTCAGGGGCTCTGAAAAGTAGCTAGGGCAGGCTGAGGCTTGAAACGGGCCCATGGGGGCCTGCACTCGTTAAGCACCTACTGTGTGCTGGGCACGTGCCATTCGAAATAAGGAGCGGGAAGAGCCGAGTTCAAATCCGGCCTGAGACGTGACTCCGGAATGGGGATCACCCTCCCAAGGGTGTGCTGAGGATCCAGCGAGATACTCAACGTCAGGCCCGCCGACTGGGCCAGATCCCCGGGTTTCATGATCCCCAGGTTTCATAAGCCCCAGTGAGCCCGGGGCGTGGCCTTGTGCAGGCGGCTGTGGGCTCAGCAGGCCCTCCTCACTGGGGGTCTGACAAGAGGAAGGAGGGCCTGCAACACGCTGGGCAGCCCGTGCCCACGTCGGGCCTGGTGCCAGGCATCAGGTCGGCAACATGGAAGTGCCACTGTGTGCCGAGTCCCTCCGCCAGTCCTTGGTGAGCACCTACTGTGCACCCACCGCTGTGCCACGTGCTGGAGACACAAGGAAAGTGCACGGCCAGGTCCTGCCCGGAAGGAGCTCCAATGGTCCTGGGGAGACAGCATGTGTAAGCCTCTTCCTGCTAGCCTTCTTTGGCCATCGGGGAGGGTTACACATTAGCAGTTCATTAAAATGAATCAGAAGTTGAGGCCGCCTGAAGGGTCCGGGGACACGCCTGCCGGGCAATGAGCCGTTCAGCTCACTTTACAGGTGAGGAAACTGAGGCAAGCAGGGAACCCTGTGACTTGCCCAGGGTCACACAGCCAGTAAGTGTCTGAGGCCAGATTTGAACTCAAAAAGATGAATCTTCCCAACTCCAGGCCCGACACTCTATCCACTGAGCCACCAAGCTGCCCCGTCTGAAAAATAACAAGCACAAGAAATTAAACTTGCCTTTTTCTCTTCAAGTGTGAAGGACATTTTTAGATAAGATACCAGGTGTGATTTGGGCCTGCTGAGCCCACAGCCGTCTGCACAAGGCCATGCGCCTGGACTCACCGGGGCTTATGAAACCCAGGGATCTGGCCCAGTCAGCGGGTCAGACAGGGAAGATCTCGCTGGATCCTCAGCACACCCTTGGGAGGGTGATCCCCATTCCAGAGTCACCCAGCTAGGACATGTGTGAGGCTGGATTTGAACTCAGGTCTTCCTGCTCCTTTCTTTGTATTGCATGTGTCAGGCACACAGTAGGTGAGTACCCCCAGCCTACAGGGTGGTGTTCACCGTGGGCCTGACCCCGAGGGCACGTGGAGTGATCTGGGATCCCCTTGGGCCGGTGCAGGGGTGCAGGAACCCACCACGGAAACCCCAGACCCTGGAAGCGCTCCCATTCGTGCCACTGTTACCATGTGCTCTTGTTCACAGTGTGAAGATCGCTCCGGGAGCAGTGGTATGTGTGGAGAGTGAGATCAGGGGAGATGTGACCATAGGTAAGAGGCCAGCGTGGTGGGGGCGGGGCTGGAGGGAAGGCCTGCAGCCCTGCAGAGTCCTGGGGGAGGAAGGGCCCGTCCAGCCCCCAGGCAGCCCGCGCCTGGCCTAAAATTAGGCCACTCATACCCACGGCAGGAGTGAGAGCAGGAGACAGGACCGGCCCAGAGCCCGGGAAGCCCAGCCCCCAGGCAGCCCTTCCAAGCCACAGCAGGAGAAAGGGTGTGGGCAGTACCCGCTACCAGCCAGTCAGCAACGTCTGGGTGGGGCCTGTTAACTCAAGGCAACAAGGGAAAAAGCCAGCTCCATGCCTGGGCCAGGGTGGGCAAAGCAGGGTTGAGGCCAAACCCAGGAATTCCTGCCCAAGGCAGAACCAGTCTTAGCTCTTCTGTCGAGAACCAAGCAGGGCCGGTCCAGCCCACCGTCCAAGAGTACAGAAGGGAGCCTGGAAACAGAATTAAGGGAAGAAAAAGGCAAACACAGTGAAGAAGTCCCATGGCCTGGGAGGGCCCCAGGAGGAGAGGGGAACCCCTTCGAGCGCGAGGAGAGCCTCAGCCAAGGCAGTGTCCTGGCCACATCAGTGCGAGAGACGGAGCCAGACATACAGAGCTGGAGCCTGAAGGAAGGACCCCTGGGAGCCAAAGGCAGACAGGGATGACCTGGGCCCAGGGGCCGGATGCCAGCAAGCTAGAGGAGGCCAGACGGAAAGCAGGGGCTCCCACATGCTGTGTGCAGCGAGGCCCGGCTCCCAGACAGCCCTCTTTTGTTCACGGGAATTTCCTGCAGTGCAGTTCATAAACAAAGGGAAATGAAACAATCATTTAAGAAAGATCATTTTTGGCAAAGAATTGAAAATTGAGAGGATGCCCATCCATTGGGGAATGGCTGAGCAAGTTGTGGTATATGAATGTAATGGAATACTGTTGTGCTATAAGAAATGATGAACAGGCTGACTTCAGAAAAACCTGGAAAGACTTGCATGGACTGATGCTGAGTGAAGTGAGCAGGCAGGAGAATGTTGTACACGGTAACAGCCACATTGTGTGATGACTATTGATAGACTTAGCCCTTCTCGGCAATGCGAGGATCTAAGACATCCCCAGAGGCCTCATGATGGAAAATGCTGTTCACATCCAGAGAAAGAACTATGGAGTCTGAATGCAGATCCAAGCAGACTATTTGCTCTGTATTTTGTTTTTTTGTTTTGTCCATGGTTTTTTTTCCCTTCTGTTTCTTCTTTCACACGACAGTGTGGAAATAGGTTTTACATTACTGTATGTATATAATCTGTATCAGATTGCTTACCGTTTTAGAAAGTGGGGAGGGGAAGGAGAGATGGAGAAAAATTTGAAACTCAGAATCTTTAGAAAAAATAAAAGAATGTTGAAAATTGCCTTTACATGTAATTGGGGGAAAAAATACTTAAAAAAAAAAGGTAACAAAGGCCAGTTCACAGGGTGGCGTGGGGGAGTCTCTAGCCACTTGGGTTCTAATGGTGCCGTTCACTGGCTGTTTGACCTTGGACGAGTTCACTCTGGGCCTTTATTTCTTCACTAGGCAAATACCCAGACAGGACCACAAGACCCTCCACATCCCTGGAAGCTTCACCACTCATGAAAAAATACAAACCCAACCCCCCCCATACCCACCCCCAGGGAAGGGCTGTAATTGACCCCCCAGGCCTTCCACCGGTCCTCTGCTGCAAACATCTGGCCAGACCATGCCAGCTGCTATGTTGCTAAGGAATGTTATAAACAAATCTTTCTCTTTCTCAAGCAAAAGAATCACATGCAATGGAAAGATCCCTGAGTTGTCTGGATACCAGTGAAATGCCCAGAGTGGCAGGAACAACACGACAGCGCATTCCAAGGCCTCCATGCCCAAGTCATGGAGCACAAGCAGAGCTTCTGAGGCATCTCCTCGGGGCCAGGCAGTCCATGCCAGGCCACTCTGTTCTCTGCCTCCTCTTAAATCTGTTCTTCTAAGCCAGGGGCAAGGCAAAGCATTTCTGCTTGTTTCTCGTTGAAGAATGCCATTTTTCTAACAATAGGTCAGAAACAAATACACCCCATGCCAAAGGATGAAAACAGCTGGCCTTCCTCTAGAGAGGAAGAAGCATTTATTAAGCACCTACTGTGTGCAAGACGCTTTACAAACATCTCTTGTGATCCCCACGATAACCCTGGGGGGTTGGTGCTGTCACCTTCCTCAGGTAAGGATGAGGAGACTGAGGCCGAGGATGGCAAAGCACCTTGCCCAGGGCGATCCAGGCAGGACTGTCCATGCCTCCCAGCCTGTGCAGGGTACTTAGTGCCTGCGCATAAGTGCTATGTGCCCCACTGTCAACGGCTCCAGCCGCCCAGGCCTGCTGCCAGAGGCATCTCAAAGGGGCTCAGCCCTTAGCTGGCGACCCACCCAGGCACTCAGCCACAAAAACAACATGAATCCTTGGGGAGGAGAAGTCTGGGATTTTCTCCCCTCTCCCCATAAACCGTATTCCATTAGACGGACCCATTTTGGAAACTGTCTTCTAAAGTCTGGCTATTTCTGAAGTTCTTAACATTCTGCTATCTCTGCTGTGGGCTGATGTGTGCATCTGGAGAGCTGCTGCCTGCAGGCAGAAGGATAAATCATTTATCAACTGCTCTGGGGCAAAATCTTTTACTGGCTTACTAAAGTGTTCTTTGTTTGATTTGGTCGGGACCAAAGGCCTGAAGTCAAGTATCTCCTGCTGCACCAGGCCACCCCAATGGAAAGTGGGCAGTGAGTGAGCAATCCGAGGCCACCGGGGGCTTCACGTGAAGAGAAGCCATGGGCGTCTGGGACAGACAGGGGATCTTATAAAGCTGAATTAAGAAAAAGACTAAAGACATGAAGGAATCCAGAAGTAGTAGTCAAGCATAAAAAAATCTGACTGCAAGAGTGATGAACGTACTTAGATCTGGGACCCGGGGGTGGACTAGCCACTGCCTTCTGGGTGATGAGAGGAGCCTGCTGGCCTCCCTTCCCCCTTTATCCTGACTCCCCGTCGGAGCTGGGGGACACAGAGAGGAGCCACTTGGAGCTCGGGGATGTGGCCGGTCCACGGCCTTTTGGTCCACGGTCTGTGTTGGTCAGGCCTGACTGGGAAGCAGACATCTCAGTAAATGACAAATCTTTCTGTTCTGCAAACGTTGCTGCCTCACCTGCAGGAAGAAGCGGCCCTGGAGGGATGGCAGGGCTGGTCGCCATGGCGACCTTCTCTCTAAGGGGTGGCTGTCAGAGGAGACAGCGGAGGGCCAGGTATGAGATGCAGACACACCGAATTGGGACTGATTTCACTGTAAGACAGCGTGCTGCCGGCATTGAAGGAAGAGGGGGATGGCCTCGGGGGGCTTGCATTCAGAAGACAGATGCAGCCAACATGCAGCCCAGGTGCTCAGAAGCCACCCACGCTGTCCACCTTGCCCCGGCCCTGTTTTCAGCTCCCTGTGGGATGGCTGGGAGATGACGGAAATCACTGCGGTCAGCCATCTTTTATGATTCCAGCACTAGGCTTCTCATCAGCCAGGGCGCTTCTCATTGCAAACTCAGCACCAATAGTTGTCTGCGTTTGTAGCCACACTCACACACCATCATGCTTTCCTGCGCCAGAGGCCTGGTAAGGACCCTACCTCCCCATCTTTGGTGCTCACGGTGCATTGCAGCAGCGACGTTGGGCATGGGGGAGCCTGGGCCAGACGTGGATAGGCGCTGCCTTCCTCATGGCGGACCACCGACCTGGGTCTGAAACAGACTGTATTGTAAGCAGTGGGAAATGACTGGAGCTGGTCGGATCACCTGCTGCTGATGATGGCAGAGTCCTGCCAACTTCAAGGCGTGGGGAAGGAGGCCAGGGTCCAGCCTTCCTCCTCATTCAAGGCTTTCCTTCAGTTCTTTTGGAATCTTATGCTGGCTGGGGGCCAGAAGCCCTCAGACCTTCTTAGGGTCACGTGTGCATGGATGTGCATGTCTGTGTGTGAGTGTGTGTGAGAAAGCGTGCGTTTGTGTCTCCTTTCAAACGGAATTAGCTGCAGTGCCGCAGTGGCTCCTGTATCGGGGTGCCTCTCTTTTCTCTACCCCATAACGGGCTGGCTCTTCGAGCTGCAGACGGGTCGTACCTGAACTTACCAGGCTCTCACTGGTCTGAGTGCTCATCTGCTTTCTTCCCTGGAGCATCCCCCCTCTCAGCTTCAGCAGGGCTCCCTGGAGGCAGCCCTGGGTCTGATTTCCCTGCCCCGGGAGGAAGGGCAGTTCTTGGCTGATCCAAGGAAGCTGGCGATGCCACAGGGGAGGGAGCTGCAGGCCTGGGGTCAGAAAGACCTGAGTTCAAATCCAGCCTCAGTTGCTTTCTGGCTGTGGGCCCCCTGCTCTGCAGAGGGTCCTCCGTACGATGGGGATCAGACTCGTACCCACCTCCCAGACTGTGTTTGTAAAGTACTTGGTAAGCAAAAAGGGCTGCAGAAAAATGCCGATTCATTATCAGTGCTGCAGAGAGGATTGTCCCTCTGTGCTGGAAGGAGTTCAGCATCTGGAGTCACAGGATCTGGGTTCAAATGCTGGCTTTGCCTGTGTACCCTTGGGGAGGCCAATTTACTTCCCTTGGGTCTGTTTCCTCATTGTAGGAAAAGGGGTTGGATTAGATGATCAGCAGGTAGCTCTAAATCTGCGATCCCCTAGTCACTCTCTCTGGGACCCATCCCTCGGTGCCTCAGTTTCCTCTCTTGTAAAATGAGGCAGGATATGGCCGGGTTAGGGCATTGTTTCTACCATAGGCTCCTCTTAAGATGCAGATATGTCACTTGGGAGGGGACAAGACCAGGCTCCCAGCTCCCAGGGCCCACCCTTCAACCGAGATTAATCTTCTGTTTGCAAAAATCGATCAGATCCTGTGATTTCTCTGCTGAAGTCCCTCAGGTCTCCTGCCGAGCTAAGCCCAAACCCGATAGTGCCGTGACATTCAGGGCCCCCAAGATCCGGCCCTGGCCTGCTTACCAGACAGTCTCACTTCCCGCTGCTTCCTCTCAGCAGACTGAACCCTGATGGATGGTCCATGTTCCCCCTGTTCCCGCAGGCCTAATTACCCCTCACGCCCTAATTCCCTGTGCCTGGACCCCCAGTCTGTGCCAGCTTGGGGGCGCCTCCCCCTGCCCCATATGCTGCCCTTCAGATTCAGGCTATTTGGGTAAGTGTAAGGGAAACTGAGGAGATGCTTCCCAGCCCTTTGCACGACCGCCTTGTGACCTGACGTGAGGAATGTAATTTAAAGTTAGTATGCATGACCAGGAGCACCAAGAGAACAGAGCATCAAAGAATAAACAATGTTCCCAGGGCGGAACAGCTCTTATGTCAAGGAATAGCGTAGCTTCCTCTAGGAAAGCATGTGCATATCCAAGGAGCTGGCCTCTCCTTGGGTACATACATAATACATAGGCATCTGGAGCTTTGGCCAAGCTCCACTTTTGTCCTAAGGTTGTTCTCCCATGGTTTACATAGATATAAAAAGGGCCACTTGGGAAAGGGACTTTTAGAGGTCTTCGTTTCAGAGACAGGGATGCCCACTCTGTTGACTTTCCCAACCAAGACCCTGATGGCTGTGAGACAGGACTCCTCCTCCTTCCTTGGATTGGTGATGTATTTCTTCTTCTTTATCTGTCTTTCTGTTAATAGAATTTGCTTCTAAGATTATGTAATCATATGTAATCACATTTATATGCATGTATGTTTATGATTATTGCCATTATTAAATCATTTATAAACTGGGAAAAGTGTGAACGTGTCTTTGTGGGTACAGATCCCAACCCGTGAAACAAATTGTAAGTGCTGCAGCCTGCAACACCTTACTGTTACGGTAAGTCACAGGGTCACTGATCGAGAGCCGGCAGGGACTCAGAGCCCCTCATTTTATAGAGAAAAGGCCCAGGAGGGGAAGGGACTTGTCCGAGGTCACACCGAGAGGAAGTAGGGGGGATCTGGGAGTGGGGATCGAACCCAGGTCCCCTGTCTCTTTCCACTGAAAATAGCCTTGAATTTATCTTTTGTATCAGTCCCCAGCGCTGCTCATTGACACAAAGGTTTGTTGTCGGTAAATGTGAGGACCCCGGGGGTTGGCCAGCTTTGCCCACTTCACAGCAAGGCCAGTGATAATATCCTGTGCTGCTTCCTCCACAGGCCCCCGGACGGTGATTCACCCGAAGGCCCGGATCATCGCAGAAGCTGGGCCCATAGTGATTGGGGAGGGTAACCTCATCGAGGAGCAGGCCCTGATCCTCAATGGGTAAGTACCAGCATCTGCGATGGTCAGCCTGGGAACTGAGCCTGGGAGGCTTCTGCATTGTGGGCCCCCCTCCAGCTGCCTGCCCCTAGGGACTGAGGAGAGGCCCCCTGGGACCATGATGGGCCTTAGGAATCAGATGGAGGGCATTTGCCGGGGGAGAACGGGAGTCTTAGGGATGGGGTGATGCTGGGCAGATCTCAACCCCTTTGGATTTGTCCACAAAGCCGCTGGGATTTGGAGAAATAGTGAACTGGGCCTTGGGCCCAAAGCACAGAGCCCCAACTTTCACCTTCCACCCTTGCCTCGGCTCCTTTTGTCTCCCAGCCGTTCGAGCTAGGACAATTGCAGGGTCACAGATCCAGGGCTGGAAGGGACATCAGGCCAGCTAGCCTGTCCCCTCCGTTTCCAGAGAGGAAGGCACGAGGCTGAAGGTCCCAGCTGAGAAACAAACGTCCGGACTTCAGGCCTGCTCCCGTCCAGCGCTGGCTCCCGGTGCTCACCCCGTGCTGCAGGGAGGGAGCAAGCCATGCCTGGAGCCTCTCCTGCTGCACCACGCTGCCTCTGCCAGGCTCCAAGTGGGGACATTTAACTCTAAATGCATCCATATGCTTGTCTGCTGTTACAACTATGCTTAAAGGGTCGGGGATCCCTGTAAAAAATCTTTCATGTTTGGAAAGAAGGAGACACTCTTCACTAAGATATATGTGAAAGAGCTTTGATCTTGTCAGAATAGGGCAGTGCCCTCCCTGAGACAGATAGCCATCCTTCCATGATGCCACCAATCTATCCCAGGGTCCCAGGCCAAGCTGTAGGCCCTGGAGGTCACGGGACTGACCAGGGTCACCTAGTAAGTGCCCGAGGAGAGATGTGAATCCGAGGCCTCCCGTGTTTGTCTGTGTCTGCATGTGCCTGTCTCCGTGATTTATTAATGAGCCAGACATGGTGGGCCTGGGAAACGTCGAGGTTGGGGGGAGGTCTGGACCGGGAGGCAGACGGCCTGGATTCACTGCCGGCTCTGCCGTCAACGGAGCCCTTGGCCACGGGCCGGCCATTGGTGTCAGCCTCCCTCCAAAGGCAGCCCCAGCCATTCCTGCCGGCCGCCTCGGGGAGCCCGGGTCCCAGGGTCCTCTTGTCTCCGCCTTCATAGCGGCAGCATGTGGAACATGTGTCCCAGAGCCCTGAAAGGTGCCCAGCTTGGATGCCGAGGATGGCAATCATGCTTTGGTTTTCCCTTGGTGCTTCTCATGGAAGAAGCAGCTTTTATGTGCGTCTTGGGCAGCTTCATGAAGTCCAGTGAACAGTCCCCTGTCGCAGATGCTGGGCAGCCAGCCAGCATTTGAAATCTGGCTTCTTGTCCTAGGGCCGCGAGCTTCTCATGTACAAATCGGGGCTTTTGGTAGAGAGCTGGGGTTTGGTCTCATTTACCCACATAGCTCTTCTTTCTTTGTTTTTTCCAACATCCTTTGTAAAAGTTTGAGTTCTGAGCTCCCTCCGTCCCTCCAGCCCATCCCCCACCCGCTGAGAAGACAAGGAGCGTGATCCCACCCTCCATGTAAAGTCGTGCAGAACACATTTCCGTGTTAGGTTGCAAAAAATGAAGAAAGTGAAAAACCGCCGGCTTCCATCTGCAGGCAGAGTTCATCAGCGCCTTGCCTGGTGTGGAGGGCCCTTCCCATCCCAGGTCCTTCGGGGCCGTTTGGGCCTCTGCACTGCTGAGAAGAGCCAAGTCGCTCACGGCTGATCATGCAGTGAGCTCCCGGCTCTTCTCACATCTTGTGAGTCTTCCCAGGCTTTTCTGGAGTTGGCCCGCTCATCATTTCTCATGGCACAGCAGTGTTCCGTCACAATCCCACACCACAGCTTGCTCAGCTGTTGCCCAGTTGATGGGCGTCCCCTCCGTTTCCAGATCTTTGCCACCTCGAGAAGAGCTGCTGTGAATGTTTCCATGCAGATTGGTCCTTTCCCCTTTTCTTTGACCTCTTTGGGGTACAGGCCCAAGAGTGGCATTGCTGGGTCAGACGGCGCGCCCAATTTGATCACCCTGCCGTCCCGCCCTGGCCCAGTCCGTGCATCCTCCCAGGGGTGTTTTCTGAGGACTTGTTTCACTCTCACTTACCTGGAGTTTTACCGACAACTAAATTGGAAGCCATGGGATCCAGATGTTTGGGATTCTGTAAATCGGGGGGACGTGTTCAGAAAGGCTTTTGAAAAGGTGCTCGTCCTCTCCACAGGTATCCTGAAAACATCCTTCCTGACACAGAGGACGTGGAGCCCAAGCCCATGGTCATCGGCACCAACAACGTGTTTGAAGTTGGCTGTTGTATCCTTTGCGGGGAGGACGCTGCCCCAAGGGTGGCTGCCGTGCTCCAGGCAGTGGATCTGGGGCTCCTGGGCTCTCGGCGGGCTCGGAGTGTGCCTCTGGGGCGCGTGGGCCGGGCCGTGGCTCCAGCTCTGAGCCCCAAGCCCCGAGGCCTGGCTGCAGTGCGGACCCTGCCAGTAACACCCTCGCGCTCCTGCAGCGGCATCACCCGATCTGAGTGGGAAATCTGCCCAGACCGGAGCTGCAGGCAGAGCCACAGCCGTGGCAGGTGGGGGGGGCAGCATGGGGGTCATGGCGCTCAGCACGTGTCCGTCCTTGCACCTTCTCCCCTTGATTTCCCAGCTGATGTTTACGGCTTGTGGACAGAGCCCTGGTGACCCGCGAGTCAAGAAGACTTGAGTTCAAGTCGTTGTGCCCCCTCTGGGCTCCTCCCTCCGGAGGCATCTCTGCAGGCCTGGGGAAGGCCCTGAGATCAGGGTGGAAGGCCCTGAGGTCTGGGGGGGGGGTGAGGCAGAGCGGCTCTCCATGAGCTCACGTCTTCCATTGAGGCCTGTCTCGTGCTCCTGTTCAGATGACAGCCTCACTCTCAGCATGTTCAATGTCCCGAGCACAGGTCCTACTTTCTCCTCGCAGGCTGCTCTCTGCATTTGCTGCATTGTTTGCAATTCTTTCCAGTTTTGACTGCATCTTTTACTTGACTCTCATTTCCAGACTCTGAAGCCATGAAGATGGGAGACAACAACGTCATCGAATCCAAAGGTAACCATCAGTTACCCAGCATTCATTAAGCACCTACTGTGTGCCGAGTGCTGAGGGTACAAGGACAAAGAAGGAAGCCATCCCTCCTTCTAGGGAGCTCACTTTCCAAGGGGGAGATGACGAGGGTAGAGCCAAATGCAGAGAGCAGAGCTGTGAAGTAAATTAATGCAGATCTGTACGAAGGAACCACATTACAGGGTGGGAGGGGAGGGCACGCCAGGGCTAGGGGAGGTCTGGAGTAAAGGCTCGGAGATGGGAGATGGCCTGTTTTGGGGACAAGTTGTGCAGGGCGTTCCCAGCTCATCAGGGGCAGTCGAGTAGGGGAGGCCCATTGTCAGATCTGAGCATGAGCAGAGGGCCTCTGGCTGCTCAAGGAGCTGAGACAGGAGGGCTGTCACAGTCATCTGAGTGAGAGGCTGTGAGGGCCTGAGCTAAGGTGGTCACTGATGGCGTGGCAGTGGAGTGGTGCGAGGGCCCCGCGTGGAGTGGTGGTCAGGAGGTGCTTGTGGAATCCCTCAGATCTCCTCTTTTTTATTTCTCTGGGGGTTAAGCACCTTGAGGGCCGTGAGTATTTTGTTTTTGTCTGTAAAAGGACCAGGCCTTTTAGAGTAGTTGGGCTTTTTTTTTTCAGTCATGTCCGACTCTTTATGACCCCGTTTGGGGTTTTCTCAACAGAGATGCTGGAGTGGTTTGCCATGTCCTTCTCCAGCTCATCTGACAGATGAGGAAACTGAGGCCAGGAGGATGAAGTGACTCAGCCAGCATCTCCCAGTCAGTGTCTGAGGCTGCATTTGAACAGGCCGCCAGGCCGCTGATAGAGCAGGTCCTTGAACAGGCCGCCAGGCTGCTGATAGAGCAGGTCCTTGAACAGGCCACCAGGCCGCTGATAGAGCAGGTCCTTGAACAGGCCACTGATAGAGCAGGTCCTTGAACAGGCCGCCAGGCACTGATAGAGCAGGTCCTTGAACAGGCCGCCAGGCCGCTGATAGAGCAGGTCCTTGAACAGGCCACTGATAGAGCAGGTCCTTGAACAGGCCACCAGGCCGCTGATAGAGCAGGTCCTCGATAAGTGTTTGCTGAGTCCTCTGATTAGCCGTTCCTCAGAGCTGGTTGTTCTGGGCGTGTGTGTCTATCTCTGCCCGGCTCTGGGTGGTTTCAAGGGACCGCGTTCTTGCCCCGTAGCCCAGGATGTTCCTCGGGGCTCTGTCCTTGACCCCCTTCCCTTTTCTTTCTTAATTAATTAATTTATTTGTTTGTAGCTTTCAACATTCATTTCCAGAAGCCTTGGAGTTTAAAATTTTTCGCCCCCTTCCTCCCCACCACCCTCCCCACGACAGTGTGCAATCTGATATAGGCTCTACTTATGCATTCCTATTAAACATATTTTCACACTAGTCATGTTGTAAGGAAGAATTAGAGCCACCTAGAGGAACCACCAGAAAGAGGAAACAAAACAACAAAAGAAAAGGAGAGAGAAAAGAGTCTGCTTCCATCTGCATTTAGACTCCACAGCTCTTTCTTTGGATGTGGACAGCATTTTCCATCACGAGGCCTTTGGAGATGTCTTAGATCCTTGCATTGCTGAGAAGGGTTAAGTTTATCAATATTAGTCATTGCAAAACGTGGCTATTACTGTGCATGAGGTTCTCCTGGTTCTGCTCACTTCACTCAGCATCAGACCATACAAGTCTTTCCAGGTTTTTCTGAAGTCAGCCTGCTTATCATTTCTTATAGCACAATTGTGTTCTATTACATTCGTGTATCACAGCATGTTCAGCCATTCCCCAGTGGATGGGCCTCCTCTCCATTTCCAGTTCTTTGCCACTACAAAAAGAGCTGCTATGAATATTTTTGTACACGTGGGTCCTTTTCCCATTTGTATGATCTCTTTGGGAAACAGCCCTAGAAGTGCTATTGCTGCGCCAGAGGATATGCACATTTTGATAGCCCTTTGGGCCTAGTTCCAGATTGCTCTCCAGAATGGTTGGATCAGTTCACAACTCCACCAACCTCCCTTCCCTTTTCTCTCTGTGCTCAGTAATCTCATCAGCTCCCAGACTTCAGCTGTCATTTCTGACTTCCAGCATCACATGCCCAGCCTTAGCATCCCTCCTGTGCTCCAGGCCTGTGTCACCACCCATCAGCACGTCCAAACAGAGCTCATCCTCCTTGGCATTTCTGCCAAGGGCACCCCCATCCCTCCAGGCTTCCATGTTCACACCCTCACTACTATCGTCGTCACCTTGTGTCTCCCTCAGCCCCCATCTCCGGCCACCGGCCGACCTCTTCTTCAGCATCTCTCAGGTCTGTCCCCTTCTCGCGCTGCTGTGGACACTGCCCCAGGTCAGCCTTCTTCATCTTTCTCCCGGATCACAGGCATGGCCTCCTGAGCGGCTCCCCTTCTTCCCTGCAGGCTCTCCCCTCCGCCTTTCGTACTCGATACAGCCGCCACGGCCAGCTCCGAGCAGGTCACTCCCTGCTGGGTCATCTCCAGCGGCTCCCCTTCAGCGTGGGGGTTAAGTGCACACGCCTTCCTCTGGCCCCGAGAGCCTTTCTCTGCCTGCCCCTGTCCACCTTTCCAGGCTTCTCCGCGCCTTCTTTGGTCCAGCCGAGCTGACCCCAAGGCTCTGTGTGTCACTGTCGAGCTTTGGTCGTGACTGCCTCGAGTCGGTCAGTTATTCTCCTTTACCCGACTATAGGCATTCTGTTAGTGGTGCTCCTGCTGCTTCTTGCGTGGCTCTGTATCCGTTCACCCGAGTCTTCCAGGTTTCTCTGCTTGTGTCCCTTTCTTCATTTCTTACAGCACACTAGCAGTCCATCTGTCCCATCCCCAGGCCATCTTCTGCTCCGCCGTGCCCCAGCTGATGGACGCCCCCCTCAGAAAGCGCCATCACCAAGGTTGGTGTGCACTCTTTGTCAGCTGCCTCGGGAGCACGGGCTTCACGGTGACAGCATGCGATTGGGGCCTTGGCGGCGCGGGTCCAACTCCTTTCCAGAACATCTGCCCTAGGGCCCAGCTTGGCCCCCATGCACCCGTGTGCCTGTCCTCCCGCGAGCCCTTGCGAGTCCTTTGTCACACACCATCCCCTCGTCGTGCCATTAGCAGGCTTCCCGCTGACACAAAGCTCCCGCGGCAGGTCAAGACCCCAGTGGTGTTTTTCCTTGTGTTTTCAAAGCCTGTAGAAATCTGTGCGACTCTTAAGGCCTTCTCCAGTATCCTGAGACTAGCCTTGTTAAGGGTTCACATCTCAGGCTTCAGTCACCTCTCCACATTGAATCTCTGGCTCATCCAGATTAGGCCTGGCCCTAGATGAGGTGCTGTCCCTGCTGCTGCCCGAGCCGAGCTGCTCTGGGCTGCCCCTGGGCCTGGCGCTGACTGTGGGCGCTAACTGAAGTGCTGTGAACTACTAACCAATCAGTAAGCACCTGCGACATGCCAAGCACTGTGCTGAGGGGCCAAAGACAGTCCCTGCCCTCAAGGAACTTCCAGTCTAACCACATACAAGCAAGCTGTGGACAGGGACGGCCCTGGAGTGAAGCGGGCTGGGAGGCCTTCCTGGAGAAGGCCGGCTTTACTTGGGACTTGAAGGAAGCCGGGGAGGTCTGCGGTCAGCGCGGAGGAGGCAGAGCATTCCAGGCCTGCGCGCCTGGAGCTGAGAGGCAGAGGGTCTTGCTGGTCAAGCAGCCAGGAGGCCAGGGTTGCTGGATGGAAGAGGACTCAGTGGGGAGTGAGGCGCAGGGAGCCTGGGCAGGGGATGAGGGGCTTTGAAGGCCAAAGAGAGTGCTTTATGTTGGATCCTGGAGGCGATAGGGAGCCCCTGGAGGTCATTGAGTGAGGGGGCGACTCTTTGGGCGCTGAGCAGAGGATGAACTGGAGTGTGGAGAGGCAGGCAGGTCCCCCCCGCAGCTACTGCAGCAGTCCGGGTGCAAGTGGATGAAGGTCTGTACCAGGGTGGGGGCAGCATCAGAGAGAGAAGGGGGCAGATTCGAGAGATGCTGCAGAGGGGAAATCAACAGGTCCTGGGCACAGCCTGAGTAAGGGAGTGAGGGAGAGTGAGGAGTCCAGGGTGACTCCCAGTTGGGGAGCCTGAGGGACTGGGAGGAGGGGGTACCCTCCACAGTGTCAGAGTTCTGAGTTTATCATGTCTGTTGGACACTCAGTTCAGATGTCTGAAAGGCATTTGGAGATGTGATATTGGAGGCTGACAGAGTCTGGGGCAGTGACAATCTTTGGCATAGAGATGGTCGTTAAATCCAAGGGCGTTGATGAGATCCCCCAGAGCAGGGCCCAGGACAGAACCCGAGGGACAGCTCTGGTTAGCGGCATGACCGGAAGGAGGGACCGAAGGAATGGTCGGGGGGGGGGGGAGAGTCAGGAGACAGGGGTGTCCTCCACCCCAAGGGAGGAGAGGAGGATCAGCAGAGGCCCAGGCCGCAGAGGCCAGGGAGAAGGACTGAGAAAAGGCCACCAGGAGCTCCTCATCCTAGCACTGTGGTCACAGCTGAGCAGCCCCGGGGAGGTGGGGGGGGCAGCAGGTGCTGCAGGCCAGGGCGGCCCCCCCAGCCAGGGCTGCTGCAGGGGGCCCGAGCGCATCCCTCAGCGGACAGCACGCACTTAGTCCAGCACTGGACTCATTCATAGAATTCTTCTATTTTATGCCCATTTTCCAGCCTTTGTGCTGAAACCATCATCCAACCCCTTCCCCTGGACCCCGTCTTTGCTTTCTTCTGCCTGTGGTCCCCACGCCTCCCCTTCATGGCCACCAGGGCCCACTGTAACCCCTGCCTTCAACAAGCCTTACCCTTTACCTCTGATTCAGCCCAGCTGGTATCAGAGGTCAGGGGGTGGGAGGGTCCTGGGGGTTATCTAGTGTACCGCCCCCTCATTTTAATATATGAGAAAACTGACGTGCTGCAGAGGGAAGGAATCTCTTCCAGGCCAGCCAGTTAGCTGAGCTGGGACGCAGCCTCAGGTCCTTGTAGGCGGAGGTGACAGCTCTGGCCAGTGCACTTGCCCGAGCAGCCCAGGGAGGCTGAGGGCCCAGGGGTGCAGCCGAGCATCTCAGGGGCCCTGCCTTGTTTTCCCCTGAGCTCAGCATGGGCCTCACACCTCTGGGTGTGCAAGTCTCCAGCCTGACCCTGTCACCTTTCTCGTGGGGGTGCATGCTGCCTCCAGGGGTCCTCTGACTCTTACCTGTCTCTCTCAGAGAAGTCTCCTCCAGCCCCCTCAGAGCTCCACTGCCCCTGTCTGTCCCGTGGCCCTCCCTGCTGACAGCCGTGTCCTTGCCCGCAGCCCACGTAGGGAGGAACGTGATTTGACCAGTGGCTGCATCATCGGGGCCTGCTGCAACCTGAACACCTTCGAAGTGATCCCCGAGAACACCGTCATCTACGGAGCCGACTGCCTGCGCCGGGTTCAGACAGAGAGACCTCAGGTGTGTCTAGCATCCAGCAGGGAGGGGCCTCTCTGCCCTCAGACCCCTCAGGGTGCATCCTCGCCTCCTGCTCCCTCCTGGGGTCCTGCTGTACTCCCGAAGCAGATGGGCTGGAATCTGTAGATAGACAGGTGGGCTTTGCTCGCTCTGAGCATTCCTGCCATCCAAGGGCCGTCAGGGGCTGCGCTTGGGACCTCAGAGCCCCAGGATCGTTTCTGCCCCCCAGCTTCCCACCCCGTGCATTCTCCTCCTGAGGCATTGTTGAGAGGGTGTGTTGGCGTTTGGCCCTGGTGCTCAGGGTCGCTCTGCCACGAGGGCTCCTTTCCCAGGTGGGTGTGGGGGCAGCTGGTGCTGAGGCCCGGGCCACGGTGGGCAGGCCTGCACGCTGATTTTGTTGCTAATGGGCTCCTCGTGTCTTTTGTCCCCAGCCCCAAACCCTCCAGCTGGATTTCCTGATGAAAATTTTGCCCAACTACCACCACTTGAAGAAGACCACGAAGGCGATCGCAGCCCCCGCCAAGAGCTGAACGAGGCCGCGCCGCCTCTTTGGCCGCTCTTCATGTTTACATGGTCGGTCCCTCCTCAGCGTGTCCTCACATGCTTCATCATTGCCGTGATAACCCGTCTTGTAGCTAGGTAGCTGTGTGTGTGCCCTTGGGGCTGGAGCCTCGGCCCCTAACACCCAGGCCCAGGAGGGCTCTGCGCATGGCCCGTCCTTCACCCCCCCCCCGCTGTAATTAAAGTGACCCCCGAGGAGCCACTGACTTGAGTTCCTGTCTCCTGTGTCCCCGGGGCACGGCTCTCGGCAGGGTGTCTGCCTCTGTGCCCCCACCCCACGGTCCTGTGATCCCCTTGTAACAGGCACTGAATGCCTAATAAAGACGGCGGTGCCGGGTGGATTGGTCACACAGCTGGCTCCACCTTGAATCCTTGGGTTTATTTCTTCCTGTGTCCACACAACCCCTGTCCCTGCCATTCAAGCCCGTTGAAGGTGCCCAGTGCCCCAGCCTCAGCTGACCGCTCAGGTTTGGCCACCACAGTCACCCTGCCAGGCTGCAGCCTCAGGGGCCCTTTCTTGCTCGGGCTCCTGGGGCAGGAGCCCACACCCCAGCAGGGCCTACAGGGCGGGCCCGGTCAGGGCAGATGCCTGCACTCATGTGCTCACCTGCCCTCTGGGTGCTGCGGGGATGCCAGGAGGGATCCTGCTGCCCCGAGGCCACACGTGGCCCTCTAGGTCCTCGGGAGCAACCCTTTGACTGAGTCCGAGTCTTTCAGAGCACATCCTTTGACGAAGGGGATTTGTTGTATCAAGTTTGGATTAGGTCAGAGGGCCACACTGGAGGACTTGGAGGGCCATGTGTGGCCCTGGGGCTGCAGGTTCCACCCCTGGGCCGGATGGTGGGGTCCTTCCTGGGCCTCAGTCTCTATCTGTAAAGAGGTTAGACTAGACAGGGTCAGGATTCTCTTCCAGGTCAGACACTCCATGAGACCGCAGCCTCTCCAGGCCTCAGTTTCCTCTTCTGTCCCATGAAGACGAAATCACCTCAGTTCTGGGGGAAAAATGCATTTGGGGATTAACATCTCGAAGAAGGCCATCTGAAATGGGGCCTGAAGGGCGTTGAGGTGGAGGACCCACGCCACTGCTCTTTGTCTGCTCTCCTCTTTTACTGAGTGCAGCTCTAAGCTGACAGTCAGGGCCCGGCACGGTCTGCCACCAGCTGGCTGTTAGCCGCAGCGTCCCGCCGCTGTGTTCTCCAGGGCTCTCAGCCAAACCCCCACCCTGAGCCATGGCCCGTCAGTGCGCCACCCGCACCGAACACGTGCTGTCTTCGCCTTTGGGATTTCTGCATGACCTTAAAGCTCAACCCCAAACCTGGCTCCCCAGGAACCTCCCCTGAGCCCTGCAGCTGTAAGGGGCGCAGAGGCCTCGAGGAGCCCTGTCGTGGAACGCGTGTGCACACACATGTACGTGCGTGTGTGTGCATGTGGCGTGTGCGTGTGTGCACGTGTGTAAAGTCTTTGTTGGTGCCCTTTGTTTTTCACCCCGTCTCCCATAGAGCCGTCCGTATGCACAATCCCGTCCCCACGGGCCCGTCTCTTCGTAGCAGTTTTTTTGCTGTTCTCTCATTTCAGTTGAGTCTGACTCTTCACAACTGCACGTGAGGTTTTCTTGGCAAAGGTCCTGGAGTGTTTGCTGTTTCCTTCTCCAGCTCATTTTACAGATGAGGAAACCGAGGCAAACAGAGTGAAGTGACTTACCCAGAGTCACACAGCTAGTGAATATCTGAGGCCAGACTGGAACCCAGGAAGATGGCGCTCTGGGCATTGTGGCGCCACCAAGCTGCCCCCCCTTCATAGCAGTAGTGATGCCAAAAACGGGGCCTTGAAAACTTTTTTTTTTATCACCTTGGAGGTTGAGAAGGAAGCCCAGACAAGGAGGGTGGTTTTGAAAGGAGCAGGAAGAATTTATTAGATCGCTTCTTTTTAAAGCAAGTGATGTGAAATGGAGATTAATGGTTTCATATAGAATCCTCTTTGTGTTCAATTGTGTGTTTGGAAATTTTCTTGGCATTTAAGTTCCCAGTGAGAAAAGGAAAAGATAAAGGCAGTTTTGGGGGAAAGACACTAGTAGCTGGAGGAATCAGTACAAGGCCTCAGGTAGGAGTCGGTCTGTGTGCCGCCATTTTGTTCAGCCATTCCCTGATCGGTTGGATTCCAATCTTATTTCTGGTCGTGCTTGTTTTGCTAGTGCAGAGAGTGCTGCCATGAGTGTTCCGGTCGGCTTTTCCTGCCGTCTTTGGCCTTTCTCAGGTGGTTGTTCAATAGGGGGTTAAAGGCCACGAGCAGCTTCGTCCCTGGCTCTTGCACAATTCCAAAATGTCTGGGCTAATTCATAGCTGCAGTAACAATGCGTTGGTGTGCGTCCCTTCCCACAGCCCCTCCAGCATCGCCTGTTCGTGTCTTTTCTCAGCTTTTGTCTCTGTGATGTGTGCGAGGTGAAACCTCAGCTTATTTTTCTCTTAGTATTGTGGAGGGCTTGTCATCCTTCTGAAAAAGGTAGGACCCTGTCCTTTGACCACTCATCCATTGAGGGATGAACCCCGGTCATCCCTATATTAGATGTCAGACTTTTATCAATTATTTAACTCAAACATTTTCCCATTGAACATTGCTCTCATTGTTACAATTACGTTGATTTTATTGATGCCAAATTTTTCCAATTTGGTGTCGTTGAAGTTGTCTGTTTTTTATGTTGTGTTCTCCCTTCGCCCTTGTTTTATGAAATGTCTTTTGATTTGCAGATTGACTATCTGTATGAAGCTTATTATAGTGTATAGCATAAGGTGCTGGTCCAAACTGATTTTCCACCGAACTTTCTAATTTTCCTGTCATTATTCGATAGGGAGTCCTGCCCCAAGTAATTTGCTTTCTTGGGTTTATCAAACACTGTATTCATTTGCTTCTACCAGTCTCCATTTAAACCACTGCTACAGAGTTTTAAGGACTGCTGCTTTTTCAGAGAATCTGAGATGCAGTGGGGGCCCCCCTCACTTTTTTCACTTTTTTCTCATTATTTTCCTTGAATTTCTTGACTTGTTATTCCTGCATTGAATTTTGTCTCATTCTATTAAGGTGACACCTTTTTATTTTGAGTAGCATAAAGCTAATTCTGTAAATTAGTTCAGGTAGTGAGTCAGAGTTGCCTCATCCATCCCACGTAGCAGATCCTGCCCTTAAACTCTGATGGACTGGCCAGGGGGAGGGTCTCTCTCTTTTTCTCTCTGTCTCTGTCTTCCCAGCTCCTCTTTTTCTGCCTCCACCTCTCTTGGTTTCTCTCTGCGTCTTTCTTCCTGTCTCTCTGCTCTCTTCCCCCTCTTCTGTGTCTTCCTTTCTCTGTGTCTGTCTCCCTCTTCTCTCACACAAAGACCCCAGCTCTGGTTTGGTTTTGTGATGAGGGGGACCAGACCTGGAATTTTTCAGTGCAGGAAGCTCCCAGGCAGAATTCCTTCTGCCTGTGCAGACGAGCCCTTTCTCTGTAACCACAGAGGGTTGCCCACAGCATTGAGAGATCATGCTCCTTGCCCAGGGTCCCACAGCCGTCCTCCCTTCCATGCCACTTAACTATGTTTCATGAATTAGATCAATGCTTGGCAGGTTAGTCGGATAATATTTGTTCAGTCTCCGTACTGACATTGTGGCTTCATGTCTAATAGATTTTTCTGAATGGTTCAGATAACGAATAAGCCTCCACTTTAATAGAAACACACACTGTTGCCTTTGGCTCACTGAGCGTTGACCTTCTCGTGTTAATATGAAAATCCTCACGTCCTATCTTGCATTTATTTATACCTGTATCCCCACTCTTAGTGTAACGCTTGGCATAGAGGAGGTTCCTAATAAAGGCTTTTCATTCATTCGATACCATTGCCAACAGATTCCATCTGGAAGTATATGTACTTTCTAAAATTATGCTTTTGGGTCACAGAAACCTGTTTGGGCCTTGCACTTGGGCCACTAACCCTTGCATTCAAGCCTCGATTTGTAGCTTTCCAGGTGGACTTTTTTCCCAGTGTTAGAGACAGCGTGTAAATTGTCGTCTGGGTCTGCTGTCCTCGCCCTGCATCATTTTGTACAAGTGTCTGAATTCTTCACGTTCGTCCTTCTTTCGGGCACCGCCGTTGTATTCCTTGACCTTAACAGAGTGCGATTTGTTGGGCCTTTCCCCGAGCATCAAGCACATCTTTTGTTATCACAAGGAGCAGAGCTCTGAACTTTCTGGTATGTGAGCCTTTCCTTATCAGCAGTAGCCTTGGTGGAAGACAGCTGCAGAGTGGGAGACGCTGGGTCTACGCCTCCTTTCCTACGGGTGTAAATGGAGGCCCAGAAAAGTACCATGACTGGGCACGATGTCGCCCATTCAGCGGCCCAGCTGAGACCTAAACCCGGGTCTTCTGGCTCTAAATTCTAATTCCTCACCATACTTAACCAAAGTTGTTGTGGCCTGGTAGAAAAAGTACCACATGAGCGGTGGAGGGGCGTTCAGGGAAGATTCTGGAGTGAAAGGTTCCCCCCACCACCACCACCACCACCACCACAGCAAATACTAGAAGTAAGCCCCCAGATCAGAAAACTCAGCAATAGCAAGAAGGGGGATTGCAGGGGAAAGAAAGGTAACTGAAGATCAACTTATCAGCCCATGGTGGGAACTCCCATCTCCTTCTGCCTACCCCACCCTGGCCAGTGGGCTGGCCCTTCAGCCCTTGTGGCTACAGTCTGAGGCATCTACTTGGAAAGTTCTCATTTCAAGTTCCCCAAGGCATCCTAGCTTTGAGCACCTGGACGTTCTGCCACTTCTAGACTCCTTTCTTCTCCCTTTTCCTGAAGGGGCCTAGCAGAGCCCCAACTCAGACTCCACCACACAGTCACAGTCATTGGAAGGACTTGGTACAATCAGTGGAACAGAAGACATTCACAATGTACAGAAGCTGAAAAATGTAGTAGGATGATGTTTGATAGCCACAAAGGTCTCAACTCTTGGGCCAAGAACTCCCTCTCTGACAAAAACTGCTAAAAAAAACAAACGAACAGGCAAGAGTCTGGCAGAAATTAAGTACAAACCAGCATCTTACTGTATGCCAAGCTAAGGTCCAAGTGGATGCATGACTTAGAAATAAAAGGTCACACAATAAGCAGATCAGAGGAGCAAGGAAGAGCCTAATGTTCTCAATTAGGGATTGAGAAGAGTTTAGGACCAAACAAGGGATGGAGAGGAAAACGACATGAAATGGATAAGTCTGATCACATGAAGTTCAAACATTTTGGTGCAAACAAAACCAAGAAAGCTGGAAGATAAACAGTAAAAATATTTACTGGGGAAAAATTTTGTAGGGAGTTTCTCTACTAAAGATCTGATATGCAAGATATAG